ATATAACCAGTGTTGTAGTGTTGATATAACCAGTGTTGTTGTGTTGATATAACCAGTGTTGTAGTGTTGATATAACCAGTGTTGTAGTGTTGATATAACCAGTGTTGTAGTGTTGATATAACCAGTGTTGTAGTGTTGATATAACCAGTGTTGTTGTGTTGATATAACCAGTGTTGTAGTGTTGATATAACCAGTGTTGTAGTGTTGATATAACCAGTGTTGTAGTGTTGATATAACCTGTCTTGCATTGTTGATATAACCACTGTTGTAGTGTTGATATAACCAGTGTTGTAGTGTTGATATAACCAGTGTTGTAGTGTTGATATAACCACTGTTGTAGTGTTGATATAACCAGTGTTGTAGTGTTGATATAACCACTGTTGTAGTGTTGATATAACCAGTGTTGTAGTGTTGATATAACCAGTGTTGTAGTGTTGATATAACCAGTGTTGTAGTGTTGATATAACCAGTGTTGTAGTGTTGATATAACCAGTGTTGTAGTGTTGATATAACCTGTCTTGCATTGTAGATATAACCACTGTTGTAGTGTTGATATAACCAGTATTGTAGTGTTGATATAACCAGTGTTGTAGTGTTGATATAACCAGTGTTGTAGTGTTGATATAACCAGTGTTGTAGTGTTGATATAACCTGTGTTGTAGTGTTGATATAACCAGTGTTGTAGTGTTGATATAACCTGTGTTGTAGATATAACCAGTGTTGTAGTGTTGATATAACCTGTGTTGTAGTGTTGATATAACCTGTCTTGCATTGTAGATATAACCACTGTTGTAGTGTTGATATAACCTGTGTTGTAGTGTAGATATAACCTGTGTTGTAGTGTTGATATAACCAGTTGTAGTGTTGATATAACCTGTGTTGTAGTGTTGATATAACCAGTGTTGTAGTGTTGATATAACCTGTGTTGTAGTGTTGATATAACCTGTGTTGTAGTGTTGATATAACCTGTGTTGTAGATATAACCTGTGTTGTAGTGTAGATATAACCTGTGTTGTAGTGTTGATATAACCAGTTGTAGTGTTGATATAACCTGTGTTGTAGTGTTGATATAACCAGTGTTGTAGTGTTGATATAACCAGTGTTGTAGTGTTGATATAACCTGTGTTGTAGTGTAGATATAACCTGTGTTGTAGTGTTGATATAACCAGTGTTGTAGTGTTGATATAACCAGTGTTGTAGTGTTGATATAACCAGTTGTAGTGTTGATATAACCAGTGTTGTAGTGTTGATATAACCAGTGTTGTAGTGTTGATATAACCTGTGTTGTAGTGTTGATATAACCAGTGTTGTAGTGTTGATATAACCTGTGTTGTAGTGTTGATATAACCTGTGTGTAGATATAACCAGTGTTGTAGTGTTGATATAACCCTGTGTTGTAGTGTTGATATAACCTGTGTTGTAGTGTTGATATAACCAGTTGTAGTGTTGATATAACCAGTGTTGTAGTGTTGATATAACCTGTGTTGTAGTGTTGATATAACCTGTGTTGTAGTGTTGATATAACCAGTGTTGTAGTGTTGATATAACCAGTGTTGTGTTGATATAACCAGTGTTGTAGATATAACCAGTGTTGTAGTGTTGATATAACCAGTGTTGATATAACCAGTGTTGTAGTGTTGATATAACCAGTGTTGTAGTGTTGATATAACCAGTGTTGTAGTGTAGATATAACCAGTGTTGTAGTGTTGATATAACCAGTGTTGTAGTGTTGATATAACCTGTGTTGTAGTGTTGATATAACCTGTGTTGTAGTGTTGATATAACCTGTTGTAGTGTTGATATAACCTGTGTTGTAGATATAACCAGTGTTGTAGTGTTGATATAACCTGTGTTGTAGTGTTGATATAACCAGTGTTGTAGTGTTGATATAACCAGTGTTGTATTGGACAAGCAAGTGTAGGTTGACCAACAGTATCACACTCAGGAAATACTTGTCTGTGCCTCACTTCCACGTTTCCTGATTGGTCAGATGATGGGTGAGATGGACGGCAGATGCTTGATGATAAATTTATCCAAGACAATAATATACGCTCGTTAAATTTTCACCCATACCCACTACTCTATAAGGAAATATCCACTATATACTACACAATAATAACATGAATTCCAAATATTAGTCAATATAGTTCATTCAAAACCAAAGACAAATGTGTAATTGTAGAGTTAGACTTATGTGAATGGAGTAGCTTTCTCCCGGACCTCTTAAGCCTAGATTTATCATACATCAGCCAGCGACGCCCCTCCCACCATGAGAGTGACGTCACACATGTCACTTCTCTCTTCTCTTCACGCTGGATCACAAGTGGTTTATTTAACTTTACAGTTCACGTGGTTTCCCCTTCCTTTTTTTTTTAATCTCTCGTGAGGAAAGAAGCCCCCAATTTCGCTTATTTCAAGTCAAATTCCAAGTATTTATTATCTAGCATTGTCTATTTACACGCTAAATCAGCATGTTTGGGATTCCCTAATGGCCAAGGTGTTGAGTAGAGGGAGGAGGAGGGTTATTCCAGAAGGGAAGGGGAGGTCACTAGGGAGGGGCTGTGGTAAAGAGGGAGGAGGGGTAGAGGTCATTTGGTGACAAGAAAGACATACTGTATAGGGTGAGCACGTCAGATCCGTATCGAAACAGAATAGTACAGTATCCTTAACAAACCATTACGTTTTCTGTGCTTTTTCGTGTTTTTTTTTCATTTGATAGATAAATAGACAGACAGCGCGGGTATACAAACAGTGCAAGTCAATATAGTTTCCTACAGTTAAAAAGTTATTACATATCTTATGGTATTCACTACTTTGGCGAGTGTGTGTACATTAATTAATCTCATACCTGAAGGTGTATGACGTCACTGGCTGTTTAACTTATGGTACCATACAACAAAATGGCCACAACATTGTACTGAGCCTCTACTATATCAGCCATTCTATCGCAATGGAACGTCAATTTTTGCGTAGTTCGTTGGAGTACATCACTTGCGAGGACTACTACTACTACTACTACTACCTGTACTACTACCTGTACTACTACCTGTACTACTACCTGCACTACTACCTGTACTACTACTACTACTAATAATAATAATAAACATTGTTCTGGTTAGGTCAGGGATTCTTTCAATAAGGAAAGTGAAAGGTAGAGTGAGTCAATAGGCTTCTTCGAACACAAACGGAAATACTGTACTCTCTCTGACACTATTCGAGGGGGGGGGGGGTAGTGTGTTTTCTTGTCAAATTACGTAAGGTAAGTAGAGTAAATTATTCGCGATTAAAATATATATACACATCTCTGACACATTATACACACCATTCTTGACGCATCCTATACACATCCTTGTTGAATGGAAGAAAGTATCGAGCTAAAGTAAACCGTGTGTGGTAGATTCAGTCACATCCTTGAGTTACATCCGGCTTATGTAATATATAAGGGAATAAGTGAGTGAGTGGGTGGGCGGGTAGATGGGGTCTTTGGATGGGGGGGGGGTAGATGGGGTCTTTGGATGGGTGGGTGACAAAGGACAGAAGGACGTATTAATCAGTTCTTCCTCCTCCCCTACACTCAGGTATTGTATTGTGTTGTCTGTTACAGGTTTGTTAGAGGACGACCTTCACGGTATGGAGATGAGAGAGTGAGGGGGGGGGGGACTGTCACCCTCCACCATCACCTTTGTTTTCACCAGAGCGAGACTGGGTCGGCATTGGCCATGGGTGTGACGTCATCATTTGGGATTCCCGCCTTTTTTTTTTAACCCCCGTAGCGTATATGCGTACATGCGTAATAATATAATTGCACCTGGCTGTAAATAACTTAAACCCCATGATATTACCTCGGCATTTATATTAGGTACCTTTTAAACTCTAAGCTAACCTAACGGGATGGGTGAATTAAATTAAAAGTTGTGGTTTGTGTATGAAAACAACAATAACAAACTACTATAATACAATACTACTACTATAACTACTATTATCATTATTATCACAACAAAAACAACTACTACTACTACTACTTTATCCAAATTAGCCCACCAAACATAATTCCACTTCAGTTTATTCGTGAGTGTGAGGTGCCGTACTCATCCACCCTGGTAGCTGTATATAATTCTATTCAATTGTCTTCTCCGTCCCGGGTTGTTAGTTACGGTGGTGAGTAAGAACAACGTGCTGGTGAGGGCTGAGTTTACTCACTCCCTCACTCTCTGCTTGCCATTCTCCCTCACTGCTTGCTTTTCTCCCTCACTCCCTGCCTCCCTCCCTGCCTCCGATACTCACCCCATGAAACCCTTCTGTCACAATCGCAGGGAGGAGTATTGAGGGGGAAATTGGCAGGGAAAGAGATGGGTCAGCTCCCTGCCACTGGTCACATACTGTAGTGATCATGTAGTGACTTTGACATACTGTAGTGGTCATGTAGCGACCCTGACATTGTGTAGTGATCATGTAGCAGATCTTGATTGTACTGTAACTCAATATGTATCGTCACAAAACCCACTGGCTGGTTAGCACAACAGTTGACAATTCTGACTCAAAAATAAATTTCATCTGATATTTTTTCGTAGTTATGTTTATTTTTTTTAACTTGAGGCTGTGTGACCTAACCTAACTTAACCTAACCTAACTTAACCTAACCTAACTTAACCTAACCTGACTTAGCTCCAGATATAACACTTGACGGTAATATACTTGGAAATTTTTATAAACTTGTATTAAATCATCCTTTGCCCTTTTATGTATGATAATCAACCTCCACCATCACTCAACCCTTCGAGTACGAGGTCCAGGTCTACACACGTCAAACACTAGTGACTGGTTTAAAGGTTTCAAGGAACAAATATTGTGGGGAAAATTAATCGAATACATTCATCTTTGTTGGAAAATAATACCTCATACCTTCTTATCGTACGCCAGACACCGACACAAGTTACATGTGATGGAGGTTATCGTACATGAGCCAGCCGCCCAAACTATATAATCCGTGTATACTCGCTGCCGGGAGGTTAGTTTCTCTCAAGCATTTGTCGACGCTGTGTAACGTGTGTATTAACTCTGTGATAACATTATAGACAACTCCCAATTGACGCTAGTACTCAAAACTGTAAGTAATTATAACGAAATGTGATATATTATTCACGTAAATCTCAGTGCGATGTTTTATTTAGGATGTCATAGAGAGAGAGAGGAAGGGCAAGTGGGAGTCGTGAAAGTGAAAGTATTGAAGGAGAATTTCCAGGAGTGGCAGGTGACGTCACGAGGATGCGGGGAGTCACCGAGCTGCCTACCTCACCTGCCCCTAATATGGTCACCTGAAGACTGACTCACCTGTACCTAATATGGTCACCTGAAGACTGACTCACCTGTACCTAATATGGTCACCTGAAGACTGACTCACCTGCCACTATTATGGTTACCTGAAGACTGACTCACCTGTACCTAATATGGTCACCTGAAGACTGACTCACCTGCCACTAATATGATCACCTGAAGACTGACTCACCTGTACCTAATATAGTCACCTGAAGACTGGCTCACCTGCCACCTAATATAGTCACCTGAAGACAGCTCACCTGTCCCTAATATACTCACCTGAGACTGCTCACCTGCCCCTAATATGGTCACCTGAAGACTGACTCACCTGCCCCTAATATGGTCACCTGAAGACTGGCTCACCTGCCCCAAGGAGAGGGGGGCGTACTCCGTATTTGCTCGTGCTTGTGTGTCTGGGTGATGCGTCAAGCACTGTTTGAACTATTGAGATGAAATTCAGGCAAAATAGTGATTTAAGTGTTTTGATAACATTTTTTAATTCATATTTTGTTCATGGTGTTGTACACATTGTTCAGAGATGGGTAGTTAGTGCGGTGTACACCTTTAGTGCCTGTGTCTTTGTTCCAGAATAAATGAAAAAACTAGTCTTGGCTGACGTGACTCACATTTATAAAGAAAATTCCCAGCCACACCTAACTTAACCTAACACTAACCTAACCTAACACTAACCTATCATAACCAAACCAATTCTAACATAATCTACTGTTAACGTATTCTAACCTAACCTAACCAAACCACCGTAATGTTTCAAGGTTTGTTTCTCAGCTCACTTGGAGAGGGGAGAGAACGTGTAGGTCGTCACGGGAGAAATTTCGTCACCATTTTCTTTAGTGATTTTTGTGGTTGAGAAGAAATTACAAAATTATTATATTTGAGTTAGTTACTACTACTGCTACTACTACTACTACTACTACTACTACTACTACTACTACTACTACTACGTGAAAATGAAAATTGGCCTCCATCCTCCCCTTATAGCCACACCTTCGCCACCATTTTATTACCTTAATATTAAATATCCTAATACATAAGTAGCTATCCTAGCTGTGTTGAGTTAGTTGAGCCGCAGATCTATGCGGCATTCAGTGACTGTTGCCTCATAGTCAATATCTGCAACTGTTGTCGGCTTTGGGGCAGAAGCTCTCGTTCCCCTGAGGCAGAGCAAAGCCGACTAAGGAGAAGAAGGACAGTCGACATCTCACCCAGGCTGTAACATAACTTCTGGGCTGCTGCTTCTGTTCGGATAGCACCTCCACGAGTCTGGCGTAGAAACATCTCGCACTTGGTCCCATCCCACCAGAGGTTGTGAACACCAGAGGAGTGAAGCTGCCTTGATCAACGTTCTGAATTCTCTCCCCATATGCCCTTATCTTGTCGTTCTCGTTCCTCCTGTGTGCAGCATCGTGAGCTAAGTTACGGTGACATGCGGCCATGGGATCAAAAATCCTGATGTCGAAGAGGGCTCACTGTTCCCGCGTCCAGAATCCTCGAGCACTGACGTCAACACGGGCTTCGTTGGATGTGTTTGAAGTCCTATGTTGAAAATTCTCACCGTCCAATGGAAGAAGGGTTGGTTCTACCCTGACATCACGGCAGATTTCCTTCAACATATTTGCAGTGAGATCCCTTACTTCGTCATGCCTCATGCATATGAAGCCCCCTTTCTTGCACACCATGGCGTGATCGACGTCATAGGAAGTCACACACGCATTGGGAGGGCAAACCTTCTACTGGCCTACCGTACTTTAGAAAATTGGCATCTGTAAATTCTTGTTTATTGAGACTGAAACCATTTGCCCTTATCGGTAACGTAGTTAACCAATTCAAGCGCCCACCTCCTGCGCTATAGCTACTTTTTTCAGATTCTCTGGTACTATTATTACTACTACTACTATAACTATTACTACTACTATACTACTACTACTACATGCTGATAACGCTGATGGCAGATAGTATTGAAGAGGCAGTGGATAATGTTAAGAAATGGAAGGATAGAACAGAGAAGTACAGTATTGACAAGTGGTGTGGGTGACTGACCTGTGGTGGTGGAAAGTGGTGTCTGTGAGAAGGGTGTTGGCAACAGTAAGGCGCAACAGGTGTGAAAGGTGGGTGCAGTGGTGTATAAGGCAGACTGGAGTATAAGGCAGGCTGGGGTATAAGGCAGGCTGGAGTATAAGGCTGGAGTATAAGGCAGGCTGGAGTGTAAGGTAGACGGGTATAAGGCAGGCTGGAGTATAAGGCAGGTTGGAGTATAAGCTTGGCTGGAATATAAGGTAGGTTGGAGTGTAAGGCAGACTGGAGTATAAGGTAGGCTGATTTAAGTGTTCTGTATTTGCAGGTACAGTAAAGATAGGAAATTGCTAAGAGCCATTGGCAGTACTGTATTGTTTGGTTTTTGGTGAAGCTCTGCTTAAAACAGGGTGAGATGGCTTGGTTAGGTTAGGTTTGGTTAGGTTGAGAGAATCGAGGAGACTAACTAGGTCAAGAGGTATGCGTGAGTCTTAATGTGAAGGGGAATAATAATAATAATAAATAATATAATCCATTTTTTTGTTATCGTTTAGTTTGTCGTTATTTTTCCGATTTCTGTTGTAGCTGTCATTTAAATCAGGAATATTCTTTTAATTAGTGAACGGTAACGGCGATTCATAACGGTAAAACTTAACGGTAATTCCACACACGTTACATATATTACTGTTACACGCGTTACAGATACTACAGAGCTACAAACACCACGTCAAACAAACAATCACCAAGACGTGTTTCAGAGCTGAAGAAACTAAAAACCAAGCACAAGAGCTGAACCCTCCCCCAAGACTACCACAAAGGACACTGGACGTTTAGGACAGCCACCTCCCTCCTCACCTCCTCCCACACTCAAGTAAAAGTACTGTCGGCCATCAGCAACTTTCACCTCCTCTACCACACTCTCTTCGTTGCCAGTTGGGAAGAGTCGTCTGGTTTTTTTCAATGATTAAATGAGAAAGTAAAGGTTGATGGTTAGATATTTGTGTGTGTGGGAGGGTGGGGTGTATGTGTGTGTGGGGTGGGGGTGTATGTGTGTGTGGGGGTGTATGTGTATGTGGGGGTGTGGGGTGTATGAGGGGAGGTGTATGTGTTGTTCTAGCACCATTGTCCTAGGATACATACGCCATTAAACACCTCAATAATCCTCTCACACCTCAGAGGTTGTTGTGCCTAAACTCTTATGTATAGACGTAGGTGTAATGACAACATGTCGAGTTCCTGGAGAAGGCTGCTCATAACTCTCTGATACTGCCAATGAGTTTATGGATTATATGACTCTTTTATTCATCTGAGGGGACCACTTAGTAGCCAGGAAGGACAGCACACCTCTCGGGGATAGTCCTTAATGGGAGAGAGAACATTACTCTCTCGCGGGAGCTCATAGTTATGCTTCCCGTAAAGTCAAACGATGGTGTGTATACAAGCCCACACGGCACGTCGCCACTATGTGTGTGTGTGTCGCCCTCTAAGCGTCCTCTGACAACGTGCGCTCTAACTACCAGTGCCTCAGGGTCCTCCTTGCATGCTCAACTTAACTTCAAACGTCATAATAACTCCAAGACTCTACCTAACTTTACCCGAGTGTTATAGTCAAGGTATGAATTCTATAATATTTTTCTTATTGTTTATGTTTAAAATTTAACACAAGCATTTAGTTACACTCTACTCCTTAGTTGAATCGACTGGCGTGATTACCTTTGTTTGTATACCTGCACTGTCTATGTACATTATTGATCCATCTGATCACATGTTCTCCCAAGCGACGGGCACTTTCCGAGGTCATGGGGGAAAACGTCGACTTTAAACATCAAACTTCTTAGGCCTGCCAGAGGACCAGTGAGGACTGGGGACACCTAGGCAGTGTTGAAGAACCTGTGATACTTATGAGGCACTGACCATCGTCCACACCAGCAGCAATGACGAATGTTCCCAGAGATCTGGTTGACTTTGAGCCCCGAAATGTTCTACTTTCCCTGACTTTCATCTTGCAGTGTGTGTTTCTTCTGCTGTTGAGCAGGTGTCCACCACGCCCCAGGGCAACAGCGTTACTGCAGAAGGTGTCAAGCAAGCAATTGCAGCGTCAGTGACCAGACAAACTCCAAAGAGCTTTAAGCAAAGATTGTTAATGATGCAGCTGATCTTACTGACCCCAGGGCGCCCCTGTCCCTCCAAGGTACAGTACAGGCGAACACTAAAGTACTGTACTGGAAATGGTTCAAGGTTAAGCTGTCAAGGTGTTTTGAACAGCAGAGTTTTGCTGTCGTCCTTGGCAGGGAGAAGATGATCGTTGGTGCTGCTAAGGGAGAGGTCGAGTTCCTAGGCGAGGTTATGAGAGCATCGTCAGGGGGATCTTGACTACCCAGTTGTTGGTGTTGGCAGATGTTAAGCCACAGACAGTGAAGCAGGTGACCAAGATGGAAACCATATACCAACTTTTGAAAAAACAACCTGTCGACAAGTCCCTCCTGGGTGAAGTGCATCAGTTCCTGAGGCTCTACCTGACCACCAGTCACCACAACAGCAGGGCACAGTTTCTACCATGAAGTGCTGGTTGAACCACAGTTGTTTCTGAATATATTTAAGGTGAGGACTGATGGATCCATCCTAAATGAATTGGTTTTCACCTTTACCACTGAGGATGGGAGACGAGAGATTCTTGGGTTTTTTGTTTAAATGCAAGTTGCAAATAAGTAAAGTTGATTTTGTTGATTTTAATTACATTTAGGAAGTGTATATGTGTATGGAGGGGTGGGGGGACGAAACTGACCCCCCCCTGCCAAATATGTACCGTTATCTTATACCTCAGGTGTAGCCAATAGTAAAGTGTTACCTGCAGTTAAAACACTGAACATTAACTGAGGTGTTGTCAGTAGCCAGGCCAGTGTGGGTTTGTGTTGTCACTGTGTAAATATGTTCACTCTTGTCATTGTTTAAACACACACACACGTTCACCACCAGCCCCCCCCCTCCCCCCTGGCGAAACTCACTCGTCGGGAACCACTGAACACATTACATGGTTCTCACGTCAGTTTTCACCAACTTTCTCCAGTGTTCGTGTGTGCCAGAGAAGGTCTCACATACATACATACATACACACATACATACATACATACATACATACATACATACATAGGTCCAGTGCTTTCCTTCCACATGTCCAAGTATCAAAGTTGTCGAGATATAAGGCAGTGTTTAATGAATACTCTGTGTTCGTGGAGGGAATCTCAGGAAATTATAAGTGCCCAGTAATGTTTTTATTCAATGTTCATTTTCTTTACATAAATTAAATACAATATATATGTAGTGGGTGTGGTAACAGAAGTGTTGTGTTGTGTTTCAGCATGATGCAGGGTGGTGTAGTGTTGTTGGTGGTGGTGGCGGCACTCACGAGGGTCAGCGGTCAGTGCCTCTCTGACAATGACGAGCTCAACGTCCCCGCCTCTAATGACCTGTCTTCGATCACCGACTTCGGGCTGGAGTTGTTCAAGGAGCTCTTCCCCTACAACTCCACCACCAGGAACTTCTTCTTCTCGCCCTACAGTGTGTGGAATGCCCTCACCCTCGCCTACTTCGGGTCCGGAGGCGAAACACAAACACAGCTGGAGACTGCCCTCCGCGTCACCGACAAGGTCTCCACACTCAGGAACTGGAGAGCTCTAGAGTTCTTGTAAGTAACACCACAACCGCGCTGTTATGACTCACACTCTATTTACTTATAATTATAATAAATCAGTTTAATGCCCAGTTATCAGCAATATGATTGCCTGGCCTAATGAGCCCCTAAAATCAGTTGGTTATATCTCTAATATAATTGTATGTTTGGACCACTTAATATTATGTGACCCCAAACCTTAGTATGTAGCATCCCAACATCCGTCTCCAGGTTTAATCCACCCAATGTTGTCATTCTCACGGCCCTCTGCTCCCCAGGTACCACATGAGACAGGCCAACAACAGTGACTACACCTTCAACTTGGCCAACCGCGTTCTGACCAGAGTGTGTCACTGAGGCCGTGTGTGAGCATATCCTCCAGAATGAGCTCCAGACACTCAACTTCTCCCAAGTAGGTTGAGCTCTTCTCTTTCTCAATAAGGTTCTCTCTGGTAGGTAGATATTTCCCTCTCCATCATTACTTCTCATCTACAGCACATGTTAGGTTGGCAGAAAGTCTCTGTACAGTATTACGTGTTATTATCGTGTGTTTATTTATCTGTCTTCTGCTGTACACTTGACCCTCAATATAACGCCAGAGCGGGACCAACAGTTGTCGCACTATATCAAGGGTTTACTCTATGTACTGATATAATAAAGCGCTGAAGCCCCTCTTGCTGAAGGTGGAGTCTCAAGATTATATTGTTCATCATTTTATTGGGGTGATGGAGCCTAGACTAACACTATGACAACAGCCAACAGAAGCAGCAGACGCCATCAACAGCTTCGTGAGCGAGACAACAAAGGGGCGTATCCCAATCTTAGTTGAACCCCAGGATGTATCACAGGCCAAGATGGTGCTGGCCAACGCTGCCTTCTTCAAGGGTACCTGGCTCTACCAGTTCAAGCCCAGCCACACCCGCAAGAACCTCTTCTACGCCACGCCCCAGGACTACGTCTTCGTCGACATGATGACACAGAAGGGCAACTTCCGCCACGGTTAGTCTCACCGCCCACGATTTACTGATCTATTGGTGGTTAGGAGTGAATGCGGTTCAGCATAATTAATGACTAAGATTGTCTTGCATTAGTAACGAGCATTGTGCGTTGTTCCACGTTGTACTAAGACAAAATTATGGCTATGAACGCAGTCTGGTTATGAATGAAGTTTGTTTATATATATACAGTACTCTTATCCCAGCCATGCCAGTGTTAGTTTTGTATTACCTGTTTCTCCTGCCTAAAGCTTGTCACTGTTTAAATAATACTCCGGTAACATAACAGACCAGCCCAACACTATAAAATAACCTCAAACATATTCCAAATCAACTCAACAAAGAGGTCTGGACTATGAAGCTTCTCACCCAATTGTACTGAGGCGGGCCAGGCGGTGGAGTACATCAAAGGTGTACATTTTAAGATTAATAACCCCTGTTGGTACTGTACGGAACAGGTGTGTCTGAGGAACTGGGAGCACACATCCTGGAGCTGCCTTACACTGGTGAAGCCGTATCTATGTACATCCTTCTGCCGCCCTTCATCAGTGGAGAGAAGCAGTTCAACGCTATGGTGGAACGTATTAATGCCTCCATCCTCCACGAAGCCTTCAACAACATGTGGCGGGTGCAGATCGAGGTGGTCTTCCCCAAGTTCAAGCTGGAGCAGATGATCGAGGATGAGCTCATAACGGTGAGTGTGACTTAATGTTTCTGTCTGTGATGTCTCTTGTGGTCTTCATGTTCTTGGTTCATTGTTCTAGTGATCCCGGGAAGTTTGTTTTCCTGAATATTACATTCCTACACTTCTAAGTTCCAGTTTAACCATTAAAGTATATGTATTTATGCAAATGAAAATTGTTTTCAAAATTATATTGGGTTCATTATGATGTTGTGGTGTTGATTGCTGTCATCCATGTGTTTATTTCTGGGTTTCCTTACAAACTTGACACTTAGCTTTGTAAAACTCAGCATCTATTTCCTGGGCATTGTCTGGCCTTGGCATCACCGACCTCTTTGACCAAAACCATTGCCAACCTGACCACTTTCTCCCCTGCTGGCAACCTGAGCATCGGCAAGTCCATCCATAAGGCCTTCTTGGAGGTGTCTGAAGAGGGGACCGAGGCAGCGGCCACAGCTCTCATTTCCTGGAGAATTGCTCGGCCTCTTGAACCCGAGAAGTGAGGTGTAACCATCCATTCTTGTTTGTAATTTACGATAACTTCACCAAGAATATCCTCTTCATGGGCGCCTACAAGAATCCCAAGGCCTGAGGGGACTCCGGGGGACTCCTTCCGTTAATATAATAAGAGACAAGCACGGCAGCAGTGACCTTCCCGTCAGTACACTCTTGTTTGGGGGACACAACTCATCTGAGAGCCAGTCCTGTCAGTCAAAATGTATTCATCTTTTCTTTAATTTATGCCACTGAAGCAAAGTTGCATATGAAGTTATCAAACTGAAGTAAGTTTTCATATTAGCACTGCCTTATGAACGTTACTTCAGTCAAATTTGCTTCATGAATGGATTGTGGTGTTTTAGGATAACTCGGAAGCTTTCTCTCAGTGACTTGAACTGTACCAGTCAGTGGATTTCTCTCGGTAAGTGGTCATGTCACTGTAGTGGATGCTGTGTCACTGTAGTGTAGCCAGGACCTTCTCTAAGTGGTCTTGTCACTGTAGTGGATGCTGTGTCACTGTAGTGTAGCCAGGACCTTCTCTGAGTGGTCTGCGTCACTGTAGTGGATGCTGGGTCACTGTAGTGTAGCCAGGACCTTCTCTAAGTGGTCTTGTCACTGTAGTGGATGCTGGGTCACTGTAGTGTAGCCAGGACCTTCTCTAAGTGGTAACGTCAAATCAATATAAGTAGGATCACTGTCCTTCAGCACTGCAGCATCATCGCCATCACCCCGGTAGGTAATAAGTTCGATGCTTTCCAGTCACACCACCCCTGGAGGCGGCAGCTTCCAGGTGACTTCCTCTACGAGTCACCATACTTATGGACTGACATTAATACTTGTATATGTTGTAATATTATCCTCAAAGGTAAAGTCACCCAAATCAAGGTGCTATACTGTATGTAATGACTGAGATGTAATACTCAGACACAGCGTCAGTGGCAACTGTTCCTACTAACTGACTTAAAATAATGAATGTGTAATACATACGCAGGTGTTGATGCTGGTAAGGCGGTTCAGCTGGTGTACAGTACAGCACCTACCCCCGCCTGATGTAAATACCCAGCAACTTTGTTCAAACTACTGTTTAATTTATTTAATTTACCAAAGGAGCTGAACCATAACCACTGTTACTATAGTTTAAGGTCACTCATTAAATATACATTTAAGTAAATTTTTCATTCCATCCTCAATGTTTATATTCAGTAATAAAGAGCTTGTGATGAGACAAGGAAAACTTAGCAACTTGCTTGACTACAAGTAAATTTAATCTTTCCTGTTTCTGAAAATAATCTAACTTTACTTATCATTACTGTATGTTTGTTTGTTGTCTTGTCTAACTGGAAATATGTCTCAATATTTTTCAAATAAATCTTTAACTACAGTATATTGTGTCTTTTATGGCAGACGACAAATTATTTTTTATTGATTTTCTGCTTCTTTCGACCCGTAAAAACTGTACACCACTGGCTTATCTTATTGACAATTTTCTCAAAATTTAATAGTTTACTTTTGCTTTTATCCTCTTCACCACTGATTGGCTCGTTAGCCGCTTGTACGATCGGTCACGTCTCTGTAACGCACTGTTGGCAAGTACTGGGCATGCACCGGCTCCTGAATGTACTATCGTGGACAAAAGTTCGCTCCCTGTAGTGAAACTGAGACCCGGGAATGAGTCTCCCAACTGACTTACCCTGGTTTGTTATCTGGTGCGGGTCGATACTGCTTCAGTTTGGGAAGGAGCAAACTGTAGTCCACGATAGTACCTGAACCTGCTCCAGTGTTGGTCAAGTCTGGTCTTGAAAGAGCTCACATTCGGTGCCGCCACAATACTTTCTGGTAAATTGTTCCAAGAGTTTACTTATGTGAGAGTTTCCAGCATTATTTGTATGTTCTACAAAACACCAATGTAACCTACATTAGGATACAAATATTACTGGTACATAATAAGTGGAGGGCGGGTCAGCTGTGTCTAATGAGGGACGTGCACACTACATATAATGTAATGTATTAGGATGTGAACAAATCCAACCATACAATAACAGTGAGATCACTACTCTAAAGGATTAAGATGATTAATAATGAAAATATTAAGGTAATTTTGCTAATGTACATTCTGACATTTATGACTTTCTGTAAGCCCCTAAAACGGGATGAAAAGTGAGTGGGGAATATCGTGTGTTCCTTGTTTAGAGAGGCCTTATATAAAATTATTAAGGCATTATTGGTAAAGAACATACAGTGACAAAATTTACACGATATAAGGTCAATAATATTTTCGAATAATTTTATCATTGTTAGAGCGTTTACACAGCTTATTTAAGAAAACTATTCCCTTGTGTAAATCGTGACAGGGAGCGAGGCCATACCCGCCTCCATGTAAACACAGCAGCAATGTGTTCTGAAGAAAATTGGTTTGTATAACTGTAATAATGTATTGTCAGGATTCATTTGTGTATTAATATGAAGGAGATATGTGCAGGGATTATGGCGTTGTAAGGTTGAAAGAGAGTTTATAATAGTTATGAGGACATTTTGCATGATTTTGGACAAGGTAAGGGACTTGAGGACAGCTTGTGGGTCTTCGGCAGGGCAGGGCCCCTGAGCAGTGGCGGAGGAGGTGTTGGTTGCTGCGGCTGTAGATTTTTTTACAGATTGCCCACGAGGGGCTAGTTTATTGGGCACCCCTTACATCCTGTGCAAGGTGACGCAGAGAAGCGTTTACAGTGCCAACTGGGAAGCATGCGGAGTTCATGCTTGCCTTTATGACTCGTGCATTAAGGGCGTAAAAGGCCTGAAGGGTCATGGGGTTTTGTCAGCAAGTTACATAAAGTGAAAATGATGAGTGTGTGGGGAAAATTCGGTACAATTTATCTGTTTGTGGCAAAGTGTAGCAGGTCCCTAATAATGTCAAGTGCCAGGCCTGTAGGGGGAGGAGGTCATGGGCAGATGAGGATGTGTGTGAAGAGGTGTGAGAGTCTGTTGACCACAAAGTTTACAAACAGTGCGGCCAGGCTTCGGGGTTGCCATGTACTAGGCGTGGCAAGTACAGTGGGGGGTGGAGGGGCATGCATGGGCATTGACAATATTGAGGGACACACCTTTGTAGTGTTATTGTGATGGTGTGTTCGTCGATATGTCGGTGGGGATACAGGTAGCCGGGGGTGGTGTCCTCAGGTCCAGGTAGCCCTGGTGGGAGACAGCTCAGACACGGGAGCTTGCGGTGGTTGGAGGACAGGTTGAGGCACCAAGTGTTGTGAGGATGGGGCAGGACTTCGCATGGGGGCAGCAGGACACACCAGGGCAGGCCCGGTAGGCACTACACCAGGAGTGAAGGCCGCCGGCGGTGGAGTAGGCCGTGAGCAGGGGGACCAACAGCTTGTGTCAAACCAGAAGAGAGGAGTGACTGGGTGGCGCTAGAAGAAGAAGAGAGAGGTCACCACGAGGTCAGGTCTTAAATAGCGGGGGTAGGCGTGGCTTAGTAGTTGACCTCCGTGATGTATGGCGGCGCTGGTTGACCCAGACCACGAGGCACACACTGGGGAATTGGTGGGGTCGGCTACTCAGCGACAAACTGCGTTTGTAGGGGAGAAATCCACTACAGAATCTCCCTCCCAGCTTATTTCACATATTAACCAGCTTAAATGTGCGTGCGTAAGAAGAGACGTGACCTGCCGCCCAAGCTGCTCACGAGCCGATCAGTGGCGATTGGCGAAGAGGATACATATAAAAGTAGACAGTACAGTATTTGATGGGATGAGGTTAGCGGTAGGGTGGTTAATCTTTAGGTGAAGTAAGCTGGAGTAGGGATTGTTAGTACGGTTGAATCGATTAAATGTTTAATATCGTCTGTTACTGTATTTACACTGTCTACCAATGTGAACCTATATAGTGATCTAATAAATAAATTTCAATTATTCTTTTTTCTATTTGTTTATCTGTTTAAGATCAACTGTTATTTTGTGAATCTTAAAAAAGGTTTTCAGTGAATCCGGATTTTTAGTTCTGTATCATAATACCAATTTGTTTACACTCGTCAGCTGACAGTGAGGGAGGGAGGCGTCGTCCACCACACCAGGTAAAGTTCCGTTTTATAGGGAGACAGCTCGTCTTGTCTTGTCATTTTTGCTCATATATTTTTCTGAGTAATGATTATACTCATTGAATTATAAAAATAAACCCCAAAGAAACTGTATGTAAACCGTGCTGATGTAACTACTGTTGTTGAGTTGACTAGCTGTTGGTCATGTGTTTTTTACGTAAAAGAAGTATGACACACTGAATATGGCGATACGCGCTAAATGTTTTAGACAGAGCTGTAGTTGAAGGGTTCACACTATTTTAATTAACATGCAGTGGAGAAATATATACAAAAGTATTAATTTTAGTAAAATGTTGGGTAACGGTTGAGGAGACAGCTTCAGAAATAACTTACGTAGTGGTTAAGTTCCTACTTACGCTATTTTACCGTGAGTGTGCTTTGATTGGCTAACTAGTTTCCGTTTAATATGAAGGGTTCTTCGGCTAGGAAGGTAGGCAGGCAAGGTTAGGTAGGTTTCTTTGATTGGTTAGGTCAGGTTCTAGTAAATGTTGCCTCTTTTATAATTATAAGTTTCCATGCACAAAAGAAATATGGTTAGGTATGTTTATAGCCACACAACAATCAACTCACGGCGAAATAAATGCCAAATGCCGACAAGAGTCACAGTCAAATATACTGTAGTTCTTGCGTTGTTTGCCGGTAATGGACGATTAGCCAATCAGACAGCACTCACGGTAAGATAGTGTTAGTAGGAACTTAGCCGGCCATGGCAATAACTTATGGATTTGAGTATTATCGTATTTTATTTTCGGTCATCCGGGGAATCTTGGGAGGGTCTCAGTGGTGTGTTGCTATAAACATGGGACTTGGTTCATTATTATTTGCTAAAGTGTTCAGTGGTTCATTAATTCTAAAACTTCAGAACAAATACTGTAGTTATGTTAATTTACTAGATGTAACCTTTTGTTCTTAGACCCAAAATGGACAAGTCTATAACATCATTATCACAAGACAAAAAAGATGAACCTCAGAAAGAAGAAGAAGAAGAAGAGTCTGAGGATGAAGACTCAGAGGAAGAGGAGGAACCTAAGCTGAAGTATGAGAGGATCTCGGGTGACCTGCGGGAGATACTGAAGAAAGATGGAGCATCGTGTATTGCTGCCAACTCTAAGGTAAATTGCATCACATGTTCAAAATATTATTGTCCATAAAGGCTATTGTACCATCCCCTACTTTTTCATAAGGTACCGGTAAGGTACGGTATTAAATTAATTATTTGGAAATTCATGATTCATGATGATTTCTAAGATTATAACCTACACAATTACATGGGGGGGAGGGGGGGCTGTGTTGTTTCGTGAATTTGCAGGTAATACCGGTTCCTTATGTAAAAAGTAGGGTATGGTACAATTGCAGAAATGTGCTCCTACGCCCCATGTGGTAACTCGTGTCACCAAACGGCCAACTTATATGACCTATGGCAAACCTATCCACCAATCACGTCCATCATTACATGACCAATACCCATTCATTCATAAATAGTGATACTACCACTGTGACGGTGCCGTTTGGAGACTGATTACCACAGGGGTATAGGACAACATCTCCTTAACTGTACGATGGCTGCCAAGATTATCATTTTTGTCAGAACATTTTGGGTTACAATTGATGAATGTTTCAGAAATGGTGTTGATGTTTATATGAGTGAATTGTTGTAATACAAATTAATACATTTTAACAAAATGATTGTTCTCTCTACGTATAATTCTTGTCTGAATATGTGAATAAACATGTAACATATATCACTCAGGATATTATAGTTTACTCTAGTAAAACCATTTTCTCTAATACTGTGCAGAGCAAAAGAGTAAATATTATAGTACAGGCAGTCATCTGCTTACATACGACTTCTGTTCCTATGGATGTTCTTTAGTTGAACCGCATACCCTGTGCATACTGTACTTACAGAACAATGTTTAAAATCCCACTTTATCAGAGCCTAAGTCTTTATATACATATAAAATCACTTAATTTAAGAGAAAAGAACAAATAGAATGACAAATTGCAGTAAATGGAAGTAAAAAATAAGTCCTCAGGTAAATAATACACTGTCAGCTTAAAGTTTAACCTCATTTGTATTGGTTAATGGTTGTAAGTCAGATGTACATAACCTGAGGACCGTCTGTACTCTATTGTGGCTTAGGAATATAGAAAAAAATATAAAACTATAAAATGCAAACAATGAAGAACACACACACACACATCGGTTCCATTATGAGAATTCCCTAAGGAGATGGTTCAGCTGGCAGTGGAACTTTCCTGCTATCTTGGCCACATTGAAACACTAAAACATTTTGAGGGAATTGTTGCTTGTGTAGTTTAAAAACCTGCAGCTTTGACAGTGTTTAAATCACTTTAATAATGGACTGACTGCCTTTTTGTTTTATTTTTCTTGCAGTTAATCATCATTGGAACAAACTGGGGACGCATCCACGTGCTGGACCATCTTGGCAACAAAGTGAAGGAGTTCGCCTCTCACACCAACCCCGTCACGATGCTAGATATGGATGGAAACGGCGACTACATTGCCTCGTGTTCACATGATCGCAAGGTAACCATTTGACTGACATGACATTCAGTGCCTTGGGTCCCCAGAGAGAGTTGTGCCCATACCCTGGTTGCTGCTGCATATTCTAGGCTTCCACCCAGGGTTTGTGATGGTGAGCGGGGACATTACATTCTGGGTTTATCCAACAGCTGCTCTTATGTTATTGTGGCTACTCCTCGCATGTGTGGAAAATGGCCATAAAATGTTGATGATAATGATATATATATATTAGTGAAATCATTTAAGGTACAGATCAATTACTTTATTCCAACATTTAAAAGCAAAACTAGATTAATGATACAGTAGCCAGGTTGTGAGTTATTAAAAGATTGATTGATTGAAACTTATTTAGCCAGAAAAACACAAAGTGAATAATAAGAACAATATTGAGTATTTACTATTGTCTTCAGGTTGTCATCCAAGGCTTATACACAACAGAGAACTCACACAACCTTGTCATGGACAGTCCTGTGCGGAGTGTGGCCCTAGATCCAGCGTACTTCAAGCCTCGCTCTGGCCGCCGCTTCGTTGTAGGTCAGCACCTCGTGTTTTGTCGTGTCAGACCATAGATAGTTACACCCACAAAGCGATGCAATTAAAGGCTTGAAATTCTCTATCATCTGGCATCCAAGTTTGTTATTGCCTTCATTTGTTTTTTACAGTAAAGTGGAACCAAGTGATCAGAACACCTGAATACAAACAATTTCCTCAGTCCTGGATATTTTGCTCCACATTTTCTTAAAACCCTGACAAGACACTTTTTTCATTAACATGCACCATTATAATACAGTACACCATGTCACAATAATCAAGAAACTGAACACGTGTTGTACGTATTAGTTGACGTAGCGTGTTAGTTGAAGATATTGTGTCACCGTTATTTACATCAGCAGTTATTTAAACCATCTGCGAGACAAACTTTACATTTGTCTTGGTAACTTTCTTATTCATAGGAAGAAAGTGAATACTGTACAATATTACAAATACTAAATTATATCTTTATATTTAGTCCAAATATTTGATGTAGTAATTGTGTTATTTCTGCTTAGGTACAAACAAGGTGATTCTTTATGAAAAGGCATTATTTGGGCAGCTACGGCCAACAGTCCTTAGCGAGAACAGTGGACCTGCCAGAGCCATGAAGTGGGCGGGACAGTTTCTTGCTTGGGCCACTGACTCTGGGGTGAGAGTCATGGACATGAACACAAAGGCAGTCATCACTCTGATTAAACGGGACCACAGCTTAGCGTAAGTAGTCTTGTCAACTTCTTGTTACTTACCAATATACAATGTGTACATTGGAATGTAAGCACAGTAGCCATAAGGAAGTTAATGGATGATAATTTTGAGATCCAAACCATAATAGTTTATTTGTGAAGACTAATGTACTTGTCATATTCAAGCTGTAAAATTGTTCTTCATTTATCTGTCTGTCCTGAGCTTTGTTTTACAATGTGTACATAGAAACTTCTAAGGAATTTTATTATATTTGTCATAGGTTTGAGTTTACACAGCACAGTACACATTGTTTTTTGTTTTTTTGCTTTTTTACTTAAAAAATTTCCAGCTAGCAGACTTGAACAGAAAGCATTTGTTTGTTGCTGTGAAATATAGATTGTTAATACTGTATTGTGATAAAAGATTTTTCACTTAATTTTCTTGACCATGTTATTGTGCATTACAGTCTGCCTTGTGAACAGTATCCGCCACACCTGTGTTGGCCCGATGACCGCACACTCATAGTGGGTTGGGGAGACTCTGTCAAGGTGTGTCGGGTGAGGGATCGTGCTAGCAATCCTTCTCAGCTCTCCACCGGCCCTGTAGATCTGCCGCCACACTACCTCGAGATTGGTAAGTCGTCTTGGTTATTTTTACATATAGCAAATTAGTATAACCTCACAACCTTCTGTACACCTTCATATATTATTGTGCTTCATGATTGTCTCCATCATTCTACACGTTCAAGATTTGTAATGCAGTAGTTCATCTTGTCCTCAGTTTACATGTTCACAACCGACTTCTACGTGTGCGGTGTTGGGCCGCTGGATGAGCACCTGGTGGTTCTGGCATACAACAAACAGACTGACCTCTCCCTGGCCAGTCTTGGGGTAGACTCCCGCAGGCCACAGATGCGTGTCCTGGAGCCCCTACAAGGAACATTTGAGGAGATATCTAAGGATGTGCTTGGCATAAGGTGCTACCAGGAGTATAAGCCAGCCAACTACCACCTGGGTAAGTAAACGCTTATAAGCACTGTATATTCTTCAAGGTGTTTTGTCAATTGTATGTGATTGGATATAACTGCCATTTAGGCCATCCAGTCATAGTCGTCTCTCTATCGAATGTGTATTTTGATAAAGCACCAAATTTTCTTTTATCTTGCTGTTTAAGGTGTCCCTCATATTTCCTAAAATCTCAAAATTATTAAGGACTAGAGCTCCTATTATTTTAAATTTGGAGCTTTTACTGTAGCCCCAAATTTTATCTGATGTCTGACACCCAGATATTACTTTCCTAGTTTTAAAGAAGTGGTCCCAAAGATTACCGTCCCACTTAGTTTTGTCCACCAATGTATTCTCAACTCCTAGAAACTTGCTAGTGCTGTACAGTATACAGCTGGTGATGACTACTAAATATCCCCAAACACCTATATTAATAAATGATGCCTCTCTGTACAGAATGTCTGGTGGAGGAGCGTCAGTTCTACATTGTGTGTCCCCAGGATGTGGTCGTCGCCAAACCACGCAGCGCCGATGACCGCATTGAGTGGTTGTTGGAGCATGACAAGCACGCAGAAGCCCTGGAGGTACTGTAGTGTTCGCCATATTGGTCTGATGTCTGTCAATTATTACTTTCTATAATATGAATTTGACAGAACAGGGAAGATATTAGGAAGTTATAATGTAAGAACTAAGTAAAGAGATGCTTTGGATATATTATATGTTGACACTAAGTAGACACACTGTGGACACTAGACATAGACAATACAGTACAGTGCAGTATAGTTGTACTGTAGTATATATGAATTCATCCTATGCATTTACTCTTAAGGTGATTATAGTTTTATCTTATACACTTCTATTGTTTACTGTAGTCATGCTCACAGTATTTATAGGTTTGAGATACATGAGGAAAAATCACAAATTGATGAGGTTTTATCTTGAAATACAGTATTGTTAATATTGTCTTACCATTATAACCAGCTTTATGATTATACCATGAGTATGATGAGATAGAGTGTGTTTCAGGGGAATCTGTCCAGTGTAGCTGACACCCCTTGGTGTTTCAGGTGGTGCAGACGTCCAGGGAGGTGCACCGCTACACTCTGCTTAGTGTAGGCAGAGTGTACTTAGACCATCTGATCGCCTGCAGTAGTTTCCAGGACGCGGCTAAACTCTGCACACAAATACTTGGTGAGTATAGTAGACACACTGTACAGGGCTAACTCCTCTGATCATTTTACCTATTTCTTTGAAATTTTGTTGGATTCTTTCATATCTTTTCCCTTAATGTATTATAACTTCATGTATAAAAAGTTAATAGGAAGAGTGTTTACAAATTATGGAATCCTCTAAAGTTTTTTTATTATAATTTTCTCCTATTGTTGTGTACAGGCTCTGACAAGGCACTGTGGGAGGAGGCTGTGGTGAGGTTCAATCGTGCCCGTCAGCTGCGTGTGTTAAGTCCACACCTGCCCCTTGGTCACGGCATCAATCTAGACCCAGCTGTGTATCAAATGGTCCTGCTTGACCTGCTCCAAACTGATCATCAGGTGAGCTGTGTCTCTCATTTGCTGTATAAAGATATCCCCCAAACCTTAACCTTATCAAATGAGGCTACCATCTCACATCCAGCCTGGGATTTGTACCATCTCTTTCTCCCTCTCCTGCCTTTCTCTGTGCTGTAACAAAGCTCCTCTACCATTTTATCATTCACCATATATCTCACCTCTCTCAAGCAAACATAATATCCATGAATATCTGAATAAATTTACTCTATACATGTTCACCTCTGTTTTCTGAAAGCTTGACTTGTTGTGTTATAGGAATGCTGCTGATTTATCTGTTGTTATTGGAACTTAATGTGTGATTGTATTACTCACCAGCACCCAAGACCATGAGTGAGGTTTTTACTGTATTAGTGTGAGGATACCTGCACCACAAACCATAGTTAATAGTTACCCAATCATCTAAGAGAGGTTGTCTTTCCCCTATTGGATACATAAATCTTCAGTGTCATTTGTCTACAGAAAAATTATGTGTTTGCCTATTCATTTTTCAGGGTTTTCTTCAAGTTGTGCAGGACTGGCCAGGTCACCTCTACAATGTATCATTTGTCATCAATGCCGTCCTGGAGACCCTGGCCAGGAACACCAATAACATGACACTGCTCCAAGCCCTCGCTCACCTCTACTCAAATATTGACAAGCATGATAAAGCTCTGGCAATCTACCTGAAGTGAGTTTACTCTATACCTGAAGACTTATAATGTTCCTATATGTTGTGTCAGTTTGGTGGAGTTGTGCTTGAGTCACCTTTAAGTCATATGTTAATGATTTATGGGCACAAGTAGGTTTTGGGAGTCTTCAGTTGAACACCTTGATGCTTATGATGCCTTGGGAAGAGGACCCATCAAAAAGTTTCAGGACTTAAACTCATCTCATCCAATTAGTGTGTTAACATGTTCACTTTTAGATTAATCCCAGTGGGTCACAATACACTCCAGCCACCACCTGTTATGTTTTGTGGCAAAAGTTCATACCAGTTTGTAGCTTTGATCAAATAGTATACATGGTGAATATACCAAATAAATATCCATCAATCTATGTCATTCTTTACAGATTAAAACATAAGGACGTTTTCCATCTCATTGGTCGTCACAATCTGTACGGCTGTGTGGCAAAGCACGTGGTGGAACTCATGTCCCTGGATATATCTTCAACGCTGGACATCTGCTGCCAACACGTTAATATTGTTCCACCAGACACTGTGGTGTTTGCGCTCTCTTCTCACCAATACTTTCTCTACAGGGTAAGTATGAGATAAAGAAGATAAGTTGACTGACACCCACAAGGATGTGACCACTGTAGGAGGTTGTCTCTGTGAAGGATTACAATTGTTTAGTGGTCCTAGTGTCTGGATGGTAGTTCTTTTGTACATCGTGTGTTCACTCCACTTTAATCCCATATATTTGTTCAGCTGTCATCCTCACAGCTTTTGTTGTGAGGAAGTGTGACAAAGAAATAAATTTATTATTTCTTTTCCTTTTTACAAGTCTCACATTTGTACTTCACACACACACATGTTCTGTTACGATCCTATAATAAAGTTTCTCCAGGTACCCACTTCACCACATTACTCATATCTATGTCCAGGGCCAATCAGTAATTTCGGATATGTGGCCTTGGAGCCTTGTTTTGAGAATTTGTCTTATGTTCATGAGGATGGTGAGGTTCATGCTGCTTTGGTTGTTCATTAATTTGCTGGTGTTCAGTAGAGACTCAATCCCAGTTGTGATTTTTGCCACACAGCTTTAACAGGAGTATAATGGTAGAGATATACGGTATATGGGAAAGTGTCACCGTGTGGAAGGTTTTGATGCTCCTGTAGTGATGTTCAGTATTATGTGATGACTCTGCCTCTGGTTCATCATAAATTGTTTACTTATTTTCTCACACTGCTAATGATTGGATGATAGTAGTAGTCGTTATTAAGGAGTAATGGTTACCTTCATTTGACTCTGGCAGTACCTGGATGCTCTCTATGAACATCGTCGTGAACTGAGCAAAAAGTTCCACAGCCAGCTGGTGACACTGTATGCAGACTTGGACAAGAAGAAACTGCTGCCATTCCTGCTGGAGTCATCTTCGTACGACCTCCGGGGTGCTCTTGACGACTGCCAGGCTCGCTGCCTCACTGTGGAAACCATTAACCTACTCAGTCAGTTCACATCAGTCATTCACAATATATGTGTAGTTTTTCATGTAGGGTGACTTCAGTTTCCCTCATGGAACCTTATTCCCTTGAGATATTAATACTGTAATGTATAATTTTCTTCATGTACTACAATCCTGTTTTGCACCAAATCTAAAGCATTTTTGGGGACCACAGTTCAGTACAGTGTTAAATTCTGAATTGTGTGCTTAACCCCTTGTGTTTGGGGTTGCCTCTGCCCTCAATAAAATACTTTTGTTTTCCAAATATATTATTGAAAGTGGTATCCCTGTAGTGAAGGGGTTAAGCAAGATACTGTACAGTGTTTTTTTTTACAAGGGGATTAACCCACCCGGGCACAGGTCACTAACCCACATCGGGGCCTGGGGGGCGAAAATTTAATAATAATCATAATAATAATAATAATAATAATAATAATAATAAAGAACCTTAAAGAAATGCAAAAATGAAAAAAAAATCAAAAGTGAGAAACAATATATGTACAGTATGTTGCATTGTCAATAGTAAGAGAAACAATTGAGACCCTGCAATTGTGTGTAAATGAAGCAGAAGTCAGATCAGCAACCTGGGACTTGGTCACAATTTTTGTGATGCCATATGGCAGCAGGGTCTACCATTAGACAACATATTATGCTTCCAATATCTTCCCAGGCAGTAGTACCTCCCAGATTTGGTAGCTGTACAGTGTAAGTTTCGGGTATTCCAGGTATATTTTCAAATGTATGACGAAATATTTATGTTTATTAGTATATAATAACAGGCTCTAAGTAAGTCTGGTATGTTGCAGATCGAATGGGTAGCAGTATGCAGTCTCTGGAGCTGATCTTGGAGGAGCAACACGACCTCCAGTGGGCCATACGACTATGTAAGGAGCACGATGATGTTGACCTCTGGGGCCGCCTTATTAACTATGCCTTAGATAGACCAGGTAAGGAAAGATTCTCTTATATATAAAAGATTTTGTGTTATAGTGTGTATATAAAAAACCTACACTCATACCTATACATTGAAATTGAAATCACCAATAGAAAAGTTTTTGAAAGGAGCAAATGGTAAAAGTTTGAATAATTTTATAAACTAATAAGCTGTCGAGTCATTAATACCGAAGGATACATAAATATTTGGAGATCATAATGTTTGTAAGAGATTGTTTGCATCACTTAATTTTAAATGTGGCAAAAAGTAGTATGTCTGGTGTCATGTTAGTAGTGATGGCATATAAGAAACTAGATAAATGCTGCTGTTAGCGTGTTATTTGGTTCATTTCCGACCTGGGGTACACTCACAAAAAAAACACAGTCTTTATAAAGTATGAAACTACAACCCCAGCTATTTATGTTTTAATATTTACAACTCCTTCATATACCCAATTTCCCCAGGCAAATATAAATAATAATCAGGTTGTTTTACTGTATTTCAGAATATGTCCGTGAGTTACTGAACAACATTGGCACACACATTGACCCTTTGCTCATAATTAATCAAATTCCAAAGGGGATGGAAATTCCTGGACTCAGAGATGCACTGGTTAAGATTCTTCATGATTATCATCTACAGGTGAGTGAGTGATCGTCTGATATCACAAAAGGTAGAAAGTTCACAAAAAAGTAAAAAGTATTATGGTTGATTTGTCTTTTTTCTCTGCCTTCAGAATTTAACTTTTTTGGTGTTTATTTTGTTTTAATTTGTTTATTGTTATTGAATGAATTGCCAGTAAGAGCGGACAAATCTTCGTCACACTACGGGGGACTCCACGAGGTCATAAAATAGTAACATAACAGAAAATAGAAATAAAGTATCGATAAATCTGGGTTTTCTGTGATGAATCTTTGCACATGAAAGTTTGGTTAAAAATTTATTGTAATTTTTTAAAGTTAATCAAAATCACAGATGGACATACTATATCAATAGCCTGGGGTGATGGGAATATTTACAGATGTTGAACAGGTCTGATGCATTGTGGGAAGTTGAGTAAGATTCCTGCATCGTGGTTGGCTGATGGGCACAGTAATTTAAGTTTTGCATTCATGGCTTCTTCTTATGGTTGGAGCTTAACTGAACACTGGTGAATGACCTTATTATTAGACAGAATTATGTGTGGATTAAGTAATTCTTATTATTTTTTATGGCTTTCAGATTGAACTCAGAACAGGCTGCCAGAGAATTTTGGTGTCAGACAGTAGCAATCTGCTTCATAAACTCATATCTACTCAGAATGCTGCCTTTCCTGTATATGGTAATGTACACAACTTTAAACTATTGGGAGTTGTAGACATTTTTATAGCCAGATCATAAAGTGTATTCATGTAGCAGAGATGATTATCTCTGTCAGTCTGTTCATTAACAAACTGACCAGCAAATCTCTTTGACAAAGTTTAATATAACTTAAACTACTCCATACTTTAAATTTCTTAAAAAAATCATGATTCTCTAACTTTCTTTTTCCTCACACTATCTTATGTCATATTATTGCTTCAACATTGTGTATCTCCCCCTTACACTGCCCTTCACCATAATCCTCTTCTCCCTATATATTCATCCTTCATCTGTAGCATCTGCAATGATTTACAAGCATCAAGAAGTCACAAGATTTATCATAAGACAAAATAATAATATTGGTAGCTAATTATTACTGATGGCATCATCAACCCACAGGTGACACTGAGTGTGCTGCCTGCAACAAGAGAGTCCTCACCTCTGGTAAGTAAACACTGCTGTTATAACTATATTTACTGAGATTGGTTTCCTTGTTTGGAATTCTAAGTTTTCTCAATATTTTTTCTTTAATTTTGTAATTTATTGTACAGTATTCAAGTCAGGTTGGCACTGGACATTTACAATGGGTCTTTTTTATACCTTACTAGGTATAGAGTTGCCTCCATTTCCTCTTGTTTGTCTTATACACTGTTTGTGACATGAAGCAGTAATGAGGGGACCACCACTTTACATAGGCTGGATCTTACTGTACAGTTTTAGGTTCGGGATGTTTCAGCTCTTGATACTGAGGTCTAGTTAGTGACCTCTCCTCTGACTAAAGTTCCCTCGTTTTACATGAATGGGTATTTTAACATGTAAGTGATGGAACATGCCCACAGTAATCTCCCTGTGCTTTTAGAAATGTATCCAACTTGAGTTTTGGCAGATTATACCATTGATATTTTATGTTTCGAACCACATACAGGTAGATCTTTATTTATGATATCCCAATCTATGTTAATTCATGGTAACAATGCTGATATATATTAAGACCACTCCTCTATTTGCGATGTAAACAGGCTAGCATTAACGCTAACTCGGCATATGGAAGACATTACTCACTTCATTTGTCAGCCAAGGCATCATCTACCCGAACGTCGCCTCGTGGCCATCTGGTGAACTACAGTCCACCCATTGTTTCTTCTTGGTTACATGTGTGTAAGAAATGAAGCTCAATGTTTATTGATTACCACCGGTGCTGTTATTTAGCATCAGTCTTTTTTTTCCTTTACAGTGAGAGGACGTCACCGAAGTTCATATTATACTCTGTTTTGGTGACTGTGAGGTGGCTTTTGCTATGTTTTTTGTGACTGAAAAATGCTTTGCCTCTGTTGTTGTGAACACGGGGTGAGCTTGTTCTCAAGCTAAAGATGTTAGATGTTCCATTTGTCACCAACAGGTCGAGGAGATATGGCTGGCTTAACAGTGTTCGCTTGTCGACATGTCTACCACAATGACTGCATGCCCGAAGACCCCGAAGAGCAGGTAAGAACAACGAAAGATTGTCTCTTGTAGACACACAGCCACACCTATGCTCTCAAACTGTCAGTCACAGACTCCAGCATTCAACCTTTATCACCCCGTTTACACTCTCTCCTACTCCAACACACACAGACTCCCACCATAACTATCATCTCTTGTTAACACCCACTACAGTACTTGTTCTCACTACCTTTCCTTTTAACTGCAACTCTCAACGATACTACAAATGGTTACTCACATTACAGTATATTATTTACACACACACACACAAGCAAACAAACAAACATTTTAACATTAATTCACCTACATTGTAGGTCAAAAATTTGTGCATTAACACTTCAACACCCAATGTCATATTTACATTCATTCCAGCAGTCAATTACACATACTTACTCTATTCCAGTGGGTTATCCACACACACACACGCATGCACGCACGCACACACACACACACATCCACAAACTTACCCATACCCACTTTCCTTTACCGAGTTCCATATACACATTATGTGCCCAATCATATTCTCAAACCCACACACACAAACACACCTTTCCCTACCTACCCATGCCCTAATCTCTCTTTCAAATTAAATTACTGTATACATTCTGTGTGAACAAACTGTAATAGAGTACAGTACTGTACATATATGCATTTGCATTAGGATAATGACTTAATTTTCTCATCTTCAGGATGTGTGCTTAGTGTGCAGAAATGACAAGAAGAGATTGTTCCTAATGTTGTGAGGTCGGCATCCCAGACTGTTGCACAACAGTGGACACAAGGGAGCATTTAGACACCATCTGTGATGCTCAAGTTCATTACTGATTAACACCCATGAACACTTGGCATTCTTAACAATCATCAACATTCATGGACGTTGACTGATTGCTCCACAGTAGTTGGGCAGAGTTTGTCAGTGGGTCAATAGCTGTGTGGCAACTCAATCCTTCGCTACTCAGATGATATGTAAATTTTAACATGGTTGTATTAAACCAAAAATGTTAACATCTTTAGGGTTTGTGATATTATTAAAGTTAAGTAATATTTGCACATCATGACTCTGTATCTTACAGGACTTCCTACTACACAGCAGGTATATATGTGAAGCATCCCATCCTCATTCTGGTTTTAATTTATATTTACATTGATCTTCTAACTGATTCAGTCTAGTAATATACACATACACACCAAGTATCCTTCTATCATTATGCATTATCAACCATTTTCTTTACAAAGCAGAACAGTGAGGGAAAAGTTTAAGATCTACCTCTGTTTAGTATCCACTCTCTTGCTATTTTTTAATTCCACAACAGTTACTTATATTAAACAACCACAACCTGTTCTGTAAGGCATTGTTACACGTGTGCTTCACTTTCTATACAATCCCTTCACCATCTGTAACAACTTGAAACACATACTCAACACATTCCACAAATTCTTCCTATTGTTTTAGAAATTAACTTTTTCCATATTAATAAAAGTTTCTTATATGTACACTATTTTGACTCCAACATTTAATTAGGCAACATCAAAGGGAAGACATAATCCCCAGAAGTTCATCCTTCCAAAAAAAAACTTACTTTACTCTCATAAGAAAAAATGAAGCAAATGTGTATAGAGAAGTCTTAATAGTGATTTTACAAGTACGTATTGGAAAATTGCATCTGTATGTTGTGGGGAGATAAACAGTTCAGTGAGTCCTCAATACACACACTCTCAACATCCTAGCTCCGAATTTTTCATGCTGTGAACATTACTGACTTTATTTACAGTGAGGTGAAATTTTTGTATAGTACAGTACAGTACAATAGGTTTCTCTCGACTATGGGAAACTACTAATGCTAATACAGTGGGGTATGCTATAACGAATCTAATTGGTTCTAGAACCTTGTTCGTTATAGCATTCGTTCGTTATAGGATTAATCCGTTCCAGGCCCCCAAATACAACCACTTAACACTGAAAAATATAATATAAAATTGTAAAAAAGTGCATAAATATGCATCTAAACCCCTGAAATAAAGAATATCATTAATACTTGTAATAAAAAAACAATAAATTAGCAAAAAAAAAAAATAATAATGTTCGTTGAAGGAGTTTCGTTCGTTATAGCATTCTCAATTTTATAGGTAAAACCGTTCGTTATAGGAATATTCGTAGTAGGATCCGTTCGTTATAGCATACCCCACTGTACTGTGCCGAGCCAGGGAAGTTTAATCATCTTATAAAATACTGAGATATCTGTAATTTGAAAATTTTGGTTTGATTTCATTATCTTAGTTTACAAACTGATAACCTATAAATAACAATTACAGGAGTTCCTATAAATATTATCCAGTGTCTAATATCTTCTCTTAAAAGACATTCCTTACTAGCTAGTGGACGGTGGTACAGTAATGGCTGCAAATTGTCAGTAGCAACAGTTGTCAGGTTGAAGGAACATGTATAAAGATGTTTTAGATTTACTTTAATTAGTTGTACCATGTTGAGGGAGGATCATTTGTCACCACCAGTTATTATGCCAATTCTATATCTAAAGATTCCTTAAAACCCATAATTTTCTTTTGAGGTTTTAAGATTGAACTGAATGTTCCCCAATTGAAGATAAGATTTAGATCATCCAAAAATCTTCCAGTTGAGACAAATATTAGATGATTTCATTGCCCTGAACCCACATTCTGACTGGAGAGTTACTGTAAATAATGTAAGTCCTTGCCTTATGTTAAGTGACCAGGTTGTCATCATTCACGGTAGAATAGCAAGACAAACATCCATGTATATATTGTACTGTCATCATAAACCAAAGATTCTGAAGTTGGTGTTGTATTATATATTTCATTTACAGTGTATCAGAGTTACTTCTTCCATGACGTCACCAAGCTTGGCTGTTGCCTCATACAAGTTCATATATCATCTACTCCTGCAGTGATACAGTACATCATGTGAGCTCTTGACATGATGACAAATCTAATGAAAGTTTACACCACAGAAAGCTTTTGTATTATACTGTATTTACTTACAATACATACCACTGTGGCATCTGAGTCACAAAGGATTACCGGGTAAGTTTTTCGCTTGTTTTGTAACGGCAGAATTTGTTGTAATGTTTCAAGGAATTAGCGCAGTAGAAGTATGGTGACAAAAATACTAAACAAATATCAATGAAAAACCAAAAGCACTTGCAATCTTGCTCAGCTAACTCTGTATGGAGATGACTTGTCCATTTAACTAGACAAAGCTGGAATCTGGTAATGTGTTAACTCAGAATTACAATATTTGTTGCATTGTAAGTTTAAAATGCATGAGAAATTTTCTGTTCAAGAAGCTCACAGTAATGTAATATTCTGGAATGGACTAAGTAACCTTAAAGCAAATAAAATGTACAGTACTGTATTGTGTTGCAGACTTCCAACAATAGCTACATGAATCGTAGGGTCACAACAGAAGCTGCTAATGTAATCTGACATGTTTCAAGTTTACAACACTGTAAATGGTGTAAGGTCACAAGATTCATATTACTTTACAATATCAGATGTATGTTCAAGAGATATAAGCTTTCAAAACATGTGTTATAAGTTCACAAGACATATAACGTGCAGTAAAGTAAATTCACAATGGAGTACAGTATTATATTAGGAAGTAACTAATAACACGAGTCATGTAGACTATTGTGAGCTCTGTACAAGGTAACTGTAGAACTAACATGGTCTGCTTCTTGTTTCACTGTTTACTTCACTGCAGGAGTAACACAACAGCTCACAATATACACACATCCATATCCCTCTTCTCTGGTAAATATTGTATTCTTTCTTTCATCATGGCACATAATGGTATTTTATTAACAAGTGTTGGGTGTGCTTGTACTTTTTTATGTAATATTTGTCTTGATTACATATGTGACATTTCATAAATAAACAGATCAGTATTTCAGATTAATAAAATAAAAATATATTACAATAGAATACAGTAATCAGGTTTCCCTTCCAACAAACCTCTGTGAGTGAATTTAATTTTCTCATTGGGATAATTAATTAACCAGATAGTGTATATGTCTATGGCTTAATACAGACATAACTCAAGGGCCAAGATAGGGTTTAGCAGCTAGATATAAGTGTCCTGTTATAATTAGAAGAGAGGTATGGTAATGTCCTTAACTTAGGCGAATGAAAATAAACGATTATTTTGTATAGTAGCGAGGCAATGGAGTACAATCAGTTATATACAGGAAGTGATGCAGTGAGTAGTGTACTGTATGTAGACAGTGCAGGTATATAAACACTGTACAGAGACAGTGTGGGTATATAAACAATGTACAGAGACAGTGTGGGTATATATGTACAGAGGCAGTGTGGGTATATAAACAGTGTACAGTGACAGTGTGGGTATATAAACAATGTAGACAGTACAGATATTGTATACAAAAGTGGTAAACAATAGTTGTACCTGCAGGTTAGGTTAGGTTATATTAAGTTATATTAGATTAAGGTAGGTTAGTTTAGATTGAATAGGGTCAGTCCGGTAAGAATGAAATAAGTTGAGATAGAGTAAATTAGGTTATGTTTGAGTTAGCTCAGTTTAGATTAAGTAACTTTAAGTTAGATTATAATTATTCCTACTTCCTGGTATGAGTTTGTGGGGTACGAGATGTTTGGGGTTCACACTCAGGATGGGGTGGAGAAAGGAAACTCACAATGTGCTCTCTGTATATATGTTGTATTGGGTGTACAATGCAGCTTGGTTCTGGGAAGTGGCAGCGTGGTTACAAGCGTGTTGTAGAGAGAGCTGGTTGGTGAGGATGCTCAGAGAAGGACAGCTTGTGGGTCGCCATGCTCGCCGGCGGGAGCGAGGACCGCCAGGCAGGCCGAGAAGGTGTTGCTTGCTGGTTGGTGTAGGTAGAAAAGAGAGAGGTCACCACGAGGTCAGGTCTTAAATAGCGGAGGTAGGCGTGGCTTAGTAGTTGACCTCCGTCATGTAAGGCGGCGTTGGTTGACCTAGACCAGGAGGCACACACTGGAATTCGCGGGGTCGGCTACTCAGCGACAAACAGCGTTTGTAGGGGAGAAATCCACTACAAGTTTGCTGCGTATTTAAGGTAAACAGTCCAGCGACTGGTTAAGAGCTCTTGAAATACCACAGCACTTTGTAACTGTTATGGAACTACTGAAGCAAGTCGGGTAGAAACATGAGTTTCCTGTTGTCACACACACACACACACACACACACACACATATATATATATATATATATATATATATATATATATATATATATATATATATATATATATATATATATATATATATATATATATATATATATATTAGCTTGAGAGGTACATAGATATTCAGTAGAGTCGTCATACAAGTTTACATTGGTTTAGCGTGTACAGTATACTGCATATACGATGTAGATATTGTAGCCTACAGTATACAGTTCAGTATGCAAGTAGACAGCACAGGTTTACAATGTACATAAATCATGCTGGTATATACTATAGTACTGTAGATAGTGTGGGCATACACATAAACCAATAGCAGGTGAGTTCTAATGAAAACAGCCCACTTTCGTCTCATGCACACTGATTCATCTTAAATTGGCTAGCGAATACAGGACACGTGTCATTGGATGCATACCCGTTGCCGTATTTAATACTGACGACAGGGACCAGTTTAAATAAATGGAGGCTCAATTATTGATGCAAGGCGTTATAACCAACCCTCCCCATCTCCCTCAGAAAAGAAAATTGAGTCATGGAAGATGGAAAAGAAACAATAAATCCACGCTGAAAAAAAAATACTGTTACATTATATAAACGTAGCATGAAATTCACATTACAGTACACGACGCAAAACGACAAAATTAGCAACTTTACTGCTCACTTTACTGTTAACGAAGAAAAGCATTTCCTGTGCATGTAAGACCTCGTCAAGAGAAATTCTGTGCATGAAAAAGAAAGCGAATAACGAATGCAAGATGTCGAGAAAAACTGGTCTGGCCGCGGTGCTTCCAACGGGATGTGTGTGTGAGGGAGGACGTTGACTGGGTGGGGAGGAGACTCAGGAGAGTGACTCGTAGGTGTCAGTCCAGCTCTGTTCCTTGTGGCTGACAGTGCGAGTATCTTCCTGGCTGACGACTGTACTAGTATCTTCTTGGCTGACTACGATTACCTCCTTGGCTGACACTGCAACACCCCACATGACGTAAGTTAGAGAAAAATCTTACTCAGCGGCTGTGAAAGTGAACTTAATTGTGTGGTTGACGTCCGTTGTTAACTTCAGCGTCCATGTGTGTGTGTGGTTAAGGACCGTAATTGTGAGGTTAACATTCGTAGTAGTGTGTGGTTAAAGGCCGTATAAATTGTGTGGTTAGGGACCCATTGTAAAGAAGGTTACAGGACAAAATCCCAGCCTCATCCCAAAAGTGGACAAAATCCGTCTTATAAATAAAAGTCTCATATTTAAAAAAAAAATTTAAAGTCAAATTGATACAATAAACAATATTCAATATATAAATTTATTTCATGCTCACAAAATTATGCTCCATTTATGTAAACATAATTATGAATAATCACTTGAAACGAATGCATGCTCCAACACCCTGTAGGAACTCCTCTACACTTTTAGATGAGGATTGGCGATCTGAACACAAGTTGACAAGGTTAGGTCAGGTCATAGGTGTTATTATTTTGTCGTGTTTTTTTTGGCCACATAAAAATTGTATACGATACCTTAATACAATATAATATAATATATTATTAATATGATAACAGGCGAATGGTCTTTACACCTAATCTTATTAATTAATCTTATATGAGACTGGGTTTTTGTCCACTTTTGGGATAAGACTGGGATTTTGTCCGCTGGGATTTTGTCCGCTGGGATTTTGTCCGCTGGGATTTTGTCATGGAATCTGTAAAGAACCGTCAATGTACGGCTAACGTCCGTGTTTGTGGTTAAGGATTGTATTTGTGCGCTTAACCATATTTGTGGTTCTGTATTTAACGTTGCTGTTTGTGTAGTTAAATTGTTGAGACTTAAAACAAGCAACCTGTTAGAGCGTGGTTAAGGACTACTGTAATTGCGAGGTTAACATTCGTGGTTATGTTTAGATAGTCACGTTACTGTGGTTTCTGTCCGTGGGTATGTGTAGTGATGTTTTAGTGACCATGATGTGTGTGTGTGTGTGTGTGTGTTTTGTTCCAGCTTAAGTTTGTGACCTGTGGTAGTGGTGTGTGTTGGGGTGTCGTGTGGAAGCGGTGTGCTGTGTGATAGCGGTGTGGAAGCGGTGTGATAGTGGTGGTGGTGGTTTGTGTGATGTGGTATGGTGGATTAGGACCTACTGTAGGAGACAGGGTAAAATTATAGTTTCGGTCATCCCTGTATTTAGATATCCAAACTAACCTAACGTAGCCACTAAACAAACACACAGGAGTTCTCTCGGACGGTGATAATTTATTATCCTAAAATTTGCTGGATGACCGAAACGATAATAATACTGGAGGCAATGAACAGTTATAGGCCAGGGAGAAAGTCACTTGATCCTGTGAAAGTATTCTGAGAATAAGACGAAATCTACAGTAGGTGAGAGTAGGAGTGAGGCTGGGGTGTGCGCTGTTTCCGTGGCTGTTCAACATATTTATAGACGAGAGTGATTAAGTAAATCTAAGGCCTTGAGGATGTTGCAAGTGTGTGTGCGTGGGTAGGTAGTAGGCCCTGGTGAAGGAGGGGTCAGTGGCAGCGTGTTTTTGTGTGGACGATTCTGTGTATTTTTTATAGAAAGCGAACAAAGTGTTAAAGGCTGTCGAACTGGTTTGACGTGTGTGTGATGGGGGGATATTGAAGAACAATACTAGGAATTTATCTAAAGAGCCACTGGCTATGAGCTATTTCTTTAACAGTTACGTATTTCACCATTCAGATATCCATAATGAACAGCTTCTCTAATGTAATGTACTACTGTGAATCAACCATACGTATCATCCATTAGTTACACACACACACACACACACACACACACACACACACACACACACACACGCGAGTCATTAACCACTAAAAACTGAAGACAAATAAGATACTCAATAATCTTTATCAAACAAATATCTTATGACTCACAGTTTTCTTTGTCATAAGGGAACTTAAATCATATGACTTACCTGTCGTAGTTGTAAGGTGCCATAGCTTAATTAAAGTCTGGCAGGTGAGAGCAGGTATTGGTGATCTGATGCATTAGTATTCATCCTGTGTGTTTCATTAGTATAACCTGCACGTTTATAACTTGGTTAATTGGTACGGACATACGTGAACCTTAGCCTGTAATGTGTGTGTGTGTGTGTGTGTATCTTGAGAATCATCGCCATCATCATTATTTTCATGTATTAGGGCTTAGAATTTGATTTTGTGTGTATGTGTATTTATAAAATCTATCAATGTTTTTAAGGATAATTATTGCTCGTTTGAGGGTAAGAGTTCATCTTTAATTATTGATAATGGTGTGTTGTGAAAATGTTGAAAAACGCTGATATTTGTATACACATTATACAGTACTGTCATTTCCAGACTGGCTCGGTGACAATGGCGCGCCGCATCTTTCCCTCACACCTCCTCCTGGCGGTCGTCTTGGTCACTCTAGCACTCCCCAGTAACGCGAAGATCGACAGGTGCTTCCGCCAAGAGGTGCCAGAAGTGCCAAGACCTAACTTCACCAAGGGCGTGGCCAGATTCAGTTTGAATCTCTTCAAAGGGGTGGTGAAGGCGCAGAAGGCTGGGGAGAACGTGGTGATATCTCCCTATAGTGTGTGGAGCGCCCTCAGCCTAGCCTTCTTTGGTGCTCAGGGCAGGACCAAAGACCAGCTGGGGGAGGTCCTCTTCCTCACCACCAAGACCTCGACTTATAGCCACTGGAGGTTCATACAAAGCATGTAGGTGTAAACTGATGGTGAGGGAACAATTAGGTATAAACTAGCATTAAGGGAACATTTGTATTTTGACTATAGATGTATTAAAAGACCTCTTGACCCTTGACAGGTTATCATCAGACTGGGCCATAATCAAGAATGCTGGCAAGAGAAAGAAGCGCACGAGTAGCGGTATGAGCAGCAGTAGTAGTAGTAGTAGTGTTGGTAGCAGAGACAGTAGCAACAGCAAGAGTAGTAGTAGTACAAGCAGAAGTAGTAGTAGTAGTAGTACGAGTTTTCTAAGTACTACCAAAGCGTACTTCAATAAAGGTCTGACTCTTGATACCTGCATGGTTTCATCACTGGGAGAACTAGAGACCATAGACTTTACCAGTACCATCACGGCAGCACTGAAAATCAACGCAGACGTGAGTGCAGCCACCAAAGGAGAGATCCAGTCCTTGGTGGAACCTCGTGCCCTAGCCAAAGTACAGTTTCTCCTCCTCAATGCGGTGTTCTTCAAGGGCAGTTGGCTGACTCAATTCCCCAAGGAGAGAACAATGGTGAGGGACTTCCACTCCACACCAGAGGTCAACGGTGGTCCTGTCCCCATGATGAACGTCGTCGGCAAGTTTAGATATGGTGAGTCCTGGTAGTGTTTTGTTCTGTCTTCAAGTGTGTTTAATAGTGTTATGGGTGTTTTGAAATGCATTTTGATATGTGTACAGTATCTTAAAGTGTGTTTTGGCTGAGTGTCTTGAAGTGTTTTGAGTGTCATTGTATGCAGGGAGTTAAGTCATTGTATTCAATTTTGTTTATCATCAGCTTACCGGTCAGATTTAAATGCCTCCATCATTGAGCTCCCCTACGAGTCCGGATTCTCGCTGCTGGTGCTCCTGCCGGCTGTGGGAGACCAGAGAGCGGAGGCCGTGGTGAAGAAGCTATCCCACCGCAAGCTGGAGAACGCTGTAGGCCAGATGACGGAGATGGAAGTAGAGGTGACCATCCCGAAGTTCTCCCTCACCACCAAATTGACTCAAGAGCTCATACAGGTGAGGCTCTACATCTCTTCATGCTGTGTAACTCTCTTTTCTACGCCCAGTTAATTTCTCACAGGTTATGCTTTCTCTTTCTCTCTATGTATATATGCACCATGTTATCTTCTCATGATGGTGTACTCTCTCTTCACCCAGTCAGTTTCTCACAGTGCTATATCAGTGGAGGTTTGCATTTATGCTTTTCTGATGCCATGGGTTAACAACAGTCATTTGTAAGAGTCACAACACAGGACACTACTGGAAATAAGCATGTGATGGTTTTGTCAGCTATTCTTAGTCAAAATTACCTTACTGTTTACTAATGTGGTACACCTACACTGTCTAGGTATACATAGGAAACTGTACATTTCCACGGTTTATGTAATACCATAAACCTGCATTGTCTATCCTTGTGATGAACTATATACCTGTGTAGAGTCTTATTTTAGATGACAGTTTTCCTCTCCTTCAGAATATCCCGAAGGAGACCAGAGACTAAGCTTTGTTGACTCTTACAGGTATTGAGTGACATGGGGGTGGTGGACCTATTCACGCAGGCTGCTGACCTGAGAGCCTTCACCCAGTCTGATCTACACGTGGACTCCGCCGTGCACCTTGCCTCATTACGCCTGACAGAGGAGGGTACTGTTGCTGCTGCCGCCACAGGTACACACACACTCTCTCTCCCCTGGTTATTTGAGGGTCACCGGTCATGATGGGATGTTAACTTAGGTTATTTAGGGTCACATTTGGTTCGTTACGTATAGGGTATTGTCATTATTATTATTTGGGTGGTATCAGTATTATTATTTTCTCATATAATTCATGTGGCTGAGTGATCTAAGCCATTGGATTAAGGGAAAAACTCTTCATGGTACAGTACAGGGGTAACTTGGCATCTCTCACTATTTTGTCATGGGTTCACTCCCTGACCCAGGACAGATGCGAGGAGGGTGTTATCCAGCATGTCATGGCACTAACACCGGAGAACAAACATTATAACAAAGAATGGCTAATAAGCTGATAAATGGTGAAATAATAAATAAATATGCTGTACAGTACTCTGAATGATTTCTTTCACGTTTTTATTGTCACTGGGAGTATCAGATGTTACTTGAGGGGTAAAGAATGGTCATCAATACTATCATCACCTGTTTTTATTATGTTGTTTTCACCGTTGCAGGTCTCTTAGGCACAAGGATCGGGCCTACCAAGTTTGTGTGTGACCGACCATTTGTGTTCATTTTGGTGGACACCTTGATGCGCGTACCTGTCTTTACTGGCATCTACAACAGGCCCCCGGACATCTAACGACTCACTCACTCACCCACCATGGACGTTTGCCGACCACAGACCTCCACACACACACCCACTATGGACACTACCCATGGACCCATTACCTACCAATCTCTTCCTAATTTATTGGCTAGGTTACATTGTACTATTTATACTAGACAAATCCACCTATTTATTGTTATTGGTGTGATTTATTATATTTTATACTGTTATTTTATCTTATTTAAAGACTTGTTATTTACTGTAAGGTCGTTTATTTTTTATTAGGTTTTTGTTGAGGGGGGATGGGTGAGGTATCTCTTTCCCTCTCCTCTCTATCCTTTCTACTTCTCTTCCTTCCAGTATTTTTTTTTCCTTTTACCTATCCATCACCTCCCTTCTTCTCTTCCCTCCCACTTTCAATAAGGTGAAATACTAGTACATCACAACATAATGTAGAGCTATGAAGAAATATGTAATGTGTTGTTATGCTTGTTAATAAACTCCCCTGATATTTTGGAGTCATTTCCTTTTTTCACGAATGTTTGTTGTGTCGCTAGGTCACACTATAGTACAGTACTACCTTGTTGTTGTCTTAGTGCTTCATGAGATGTCTCCCATTATTTGGTAAGTTAGGAATTAGGGGAATATAATTATTTTTCATGCTGTGGACCTACTTCAAGATAGCCTTTACAAACTCTTCTTTAAGCTCTAATCCCAACCTAAAGCTTCCCCCCCCTCCTGTTTTAATAGCCATTTGTCTTGCTGCCTCTTTCAGAGCTGTATAGTATACATGAAGATGGTTGTAGTTAAACACAAGTGTCGACACCCTCAACAGTAGTGCCTCTGGATGATGGCCTACAAGACACTGTGAAGTCAATTACTGGCCACTGCTTAATGCCCAACACCTGGAAATGATGGTGAAACAACCATGGTGTGGACTAAGGTGGTGAAGTAACCCACCCTGTACTGTAGCTGATGAATACTGTACTAACCAATCACTGTACAAGGTCAGCCACCCCCTCTGTCCTATACCTGGTAAGTAATAATTTGAGTTAATGAACTACACATACAAAGATAAAATTCACCATAATTCATCATCTTAAAAGGTATAAAACATTATTGATAACGTGTTAATTACATTAGTTTTATTAGATTTACATATATATATAAATATAAATAAATATATATATATATATATATATATATATATATATATCTTGATAAAATCACACGGGAAAAGGGAAACAACGGAGCACCTTAGCTTTCGTCTTTATTCAAGACATCTTCAGAGGCAACTGGATTACATGGACAGAGAGAGGCTTAAATATACATGGTCAGGTCATAATGATGTCATCCACTAATCCCCACACCAACACACACGTAGAGGAGCTTAAGAGAAGGGGGGTGACGTGACGTGCATTTTTAACCTTGGGCCACTGACAAATAAATTTATGTAACATATATATCTTCTTAAATACAACTCTTAATATAGTTTATATGGACTAGATAAAGTACTGTTATCTTATGTAAGGCAGTGTATCTTGCCCTTCCTACTCCTTTCTATCTCTATAACTCCATCTATCACTCTGTCATGTATACTAGTACTGTATTATACTATCTTAATCTATTTTTAGTATATTCATATACAGAAGATAATGTTTTTGTTTGAAGAATAAAGCTTGGGAAAACTGATGTATTTATACACTATATACTATCTCTTATACACACAATTTTTCCATCTATCTGTATACTACTTGTTATAATGTATGTTTTTATAGGCACTGTATACATTCCATTGTTTAACCAAACTACCTACCTCCTATGTCTCTACAAAAAGTGAAGGATTTTTAAAAGAATCCAGAATGAATTACCGTTACACATTTCACTTGCCTACATAAATTATATTTATTTCTCTTCATCTATCTATGTCTGGGCATCTCAATATATATAAACAGTATACATAGTCTTATTGGTCTTCATTTCAATTTCTTTCGGTTTGTATATGTATATTTTTTCTAATTAAGTTTGTGTTACAATTTATGCTTTTTGAAAACACAACATATATATATATATATACTGTATATATATATATATATATATATATATATATATATATATATATATATATATATATATATATATATATATATATATATATATATATATATATATATATATATATATATATATATATATATCACATCACTTTTGTCTCTCTCATTCTCTTTCTTTCCAGTTCTTCATCTCTATACAATGCATCTACCTTAACAAGTCCTCTTCAGGGTACTGGACTTTTATAAGCTCCCATAAATATGACGTTTTTGGTGTTGTTGTCATGAATCAAAAACACAAAAGGCCTGTTGCAGGAGAATGTTTTTGGAACACTCCCAAAACTTGATCTTGTATAGGCAATGAAGCCCGTCGCTGCTGCTGCTTCGGTGCCTTCTTCAGACACCTCCATGAACGCCTTGTGTATGCTTTTGGTGATGGCGAGCCCTGGTTTATTCACGAAGTCAGTCAGGTTACTCGTGGTGTCGTTGAAGAGGTCATTGATGCCAAGGTTCTGAAGAGCCTGTTTTGGGGAGAAGGAGAAAAGGTGATGGTATTAGTGGCGCCGAGTGTGTGTTGGTAAGGTGGAATGTCTTATCTTACCTGTCTCTATCCATCTCTCTCTCACTGTATTTACTAACACCATGTCAATATTATTCTTGTTGTCTACTGTGTCTGTATTATTCTGGTTAAATTAACTGTTTCAATATCACTTTTATCCTTTCTTTAACTACATATAACTATTTCTCTCTCTTGATCTCCTATTTTCTTCCATTAATCACTTTTTTATCAATCTCTCTGTCTCACCTCTATGAGTTCCTTCTTTAGTTCTAGCTCCACCTTGAACTTGGGTAGGGTAAGGAAGACCTCAGAATTTTCCATACTCCTCTTGGTGATGGCTCGACTGAGGGAGGAGGCGGTGAGTGCTGATACCATGGCAGAAAAACCTTCTTCACCTTCCACATCTGGCAGCAGCAACAACATTGACAGGTCATTGCCTGCATATGGAAGTTCTAGGACATTGGCAGACAGGTCCTTGGAGTGTCCTGAGGGAGAAAAATAATGATGTAAAGATAACGAAAATGACAAGTGATGTAGATATGCAGTGAGATGCAAATAGAGTGAGTGATGTTGGTACAGTGAGATGCAGATACAGTGATGGTACAGTGAGATGCAAAGATAGTGATGGTACAGTGAGATGCAAAGATAGTGATGGTAGTAATATACAGTGATGGTACAGTGAGATGCAGAGATACAGTGATGGTACAATGAGATGCAGAGATAGTGATGGTGCAGTGAGATACCTATACGGTGATGGTACAGTAAGATGCAGAGATAGTGATGGTACAGTGAGATGCAGATGCAGTGATGGTACAGTAAGATGCAGAGATAGTGATGGTACAGTGAGATGCAGTGATGGTACAGTGAGATACAGTGAAGGTACAGTGAGATGCAGATACAGTGATGGTACAGACACAGTAAATCAAGGTACTGTACTGTATTAGTGACAGTCAGTTAGATCTCTCTCTCTCTCTTCAACTTGTATATAAATGACTGGTAGATGTACCGGTAATAACAAATATCACTAAATCAAGCATCTCTTTCTTTCTCAGCAGGCAACACCACTACCGCCTGGGAAGATACTGGAAACATAATGTGTTGTCTAATGGTAGACCCTGCTGCCATATGCATCACAAAAATTGTGACCAAGTCCTAGGTTGCTGATCTGACTTTCTGCCTCAGTTACACACAATTGCAGGAACACTCACCATGCCTAAGTTCCGTTCTGAGAGACATCATAGGTACGTCGACAGAATTGCCCGGGGTAATGAAAAATTTGCTCTGCCTGGTATTTGAGGGTTTGAACTGGTATTGCCATGTGCCCTTGAAGTAAGCAGCGTTGACCAGCACCATCAATGCATCCAGCATGTCAATGGGTGACACGATGGTGGGGATCAGGCTCTTGGTGGTGTTTGATACGAAGTCATTGATCTGTGCAGCCGAACCTGTCAACTGTTAGAGGCAAATAAATTGTTGTGAGTTTTTCGACAATGTAAAATATAAGAACATACGAAAATAAGGAGTCTGCAATAGGCCAGTTGGCCTGTGCATGGCAGCTCCTGTCGAGAGTTACAACCACTCTATCGTCCATGAATCTATCTAGTCTCCTTTTAAAACTTTCCAGGGTCCCAGCACTTACTACAAATTGCTAAACTTGTTCCACTCATCTACCACCCTATTTGTGAACCAGTTCCTTCCTATCTCCCTCCTAAACCTAAACTTATCCAACTTAAATACGTTGCTATGAGTCCTGTCCTGCTCGGATATTATAAAAACTTTATCTTAAATACTTCTATCATATCTCCCCGCACTCTTCGTCTTTCTAGGGAATGCAAGTTTAGTTTCTTTAATCTATCTTGATTTGGAAGGTTTCTAAGTCCCGGAATCATTTTCGTCATTCTTCGCTGCACCGACTTAAGTGAATTGATATCCATTCTATAATAAGGGCACCAGAACTGAACAGCATGATCGAGGTGCGGCCTCACTAGCGCAAAATATAATTGCAATATGATCTCCGTACCCTTATTACTTACACTTCTAGATATAAAACCTATTACTCTGTTTGCCTTATTTCGAACATTAACGCACTGTTTTCTAGGCTGAAGGTCCGGGCTTATGAATACCCCTAGGTCTCTTTCACAAGTCGACTTCTCTGGGTTGATGTTGTTAAGGCTGTATACATTGATTTGTTCTTCCAATATTAAGTACGCTGCACTTGCTGGTGTTGAAGTTTATTTGCTATTTTTCTGATCACGCCTGCAGTTTATTTAAATCCTCCTGTAGAGCATTTGCATCCTGCCCTGAATTAATCTGCCGCCTTATTTTGGTGTCATCTGTAAACTTGCTTATGTCATTGCTGATCCCAGTATCTAGATCGTTTATGTAATTTATGAACAAGAGGGGCCCAGTACTGACCCCTGGGGAACCCCATTAGTTACACAGCCCCACTCAGATTTAAAACCATCTACGCTGACCCTCTGTGTTCTATCGGTGAACTATGATTTATCCAATTTAAAACTTTCCCCTCGATACCATGAGCCTTAACTTTTCTCAGAAGCCTCTGATGCGGTACTCTGTCAAATGCTTTGCTAAAGTCTAGGTAGATAACATCGTAATTTTCGTCATTATCAACTACCTCCCTAGACTTTCCTAAAAAAACGTCAACAGATTTGTTAGACAAGATTTTCCCTTTGTAAATCCATGTTGAGAGTCGTAGATTAATTTGTTGTTTTCTAAATGCGATCGGATGCTATGTGCTATACTGTAATTGATTCAAGCAATTTCCCCACAACTGACGTCAAACTAATCGGCCGGTAATTTGACTCTGATGCTCTGTCTCCCTTTTTTAATATGGGTACTACTGTACATTTGCCTGTCTACAAGTCTGGCACACTTGGTTATAGATACATTAGATTGATAAAAAGATTGATAGATCAAAGAGATAGATAAATCTTCAAAGTAATTCACATTGCATATAGACAGTGCAGGTTACATACAAAACAAAAATACGTGAAAAGTCCAATTGTATGTAATATATAAGTCAAATAATAGTTACTCACGTCCTTAAAATTGACAGTCTCCACTTCGTTATGGAGGATGGTAGACACACACGGTCGTACTCGCAGGGTTTGGTCGAAATATATGCGGTTGGCAATGTTGAAGGTGTATTCTGAGGTGTTGCCAGCCCTGTTTTCGTATCTATGGAGGGGAGAATGTTTAATGGTGGTTGTGGTGGTTGAAATAATAGTTGTTTTGGTAGTTGAAATTTAAGTTGTTTTGGTGGTTCAGTAAGTAATAGTGGTGGTTGATAAATTGTATTAGTTGTGGGAGTTATGATTGAGAAATATATAGTATAATTACGTAGATGTGGTGATTGAGGGACTGTACTGTATGAGTTTTAGTTAAGTGATGGTAGAACTTGAAACAGTATAGATGTTAATGATAGTGGTTGGTAGTTGACAATATTAATAGTTAATAGTGGTGTTAATAGTAGTACTGTAGTTAATTGTTTACTAGCGTTAGTTGTGATAGTGGACTAATCACGGTATTGAAAGTATTAATACATTCGAATAATGACATAAACAATACCATTATTTTCAATCACTACAATTCACCATATTATAAAAACTAAATATATTTGGTTAAATTATTTCAGACATGGACCAACTTACAGCATTTCAAGTGCGCGCCAAAGTGCGAGTGTTGCCGGCTTGTCAGTAATCCTGAGCACGTCTTGAAGTTCGGCTTTTGTATTGCCAGCTGAACCGAAGTAGGCGAGAACAAGCGCCGTCCAGATGCTATATGGCGAAAAGAAGAAGTTTTCTGCGTTGGTGAGGGTGGAAGCTTCTCTGTAGAGATCAAAACTGAAGTCCACGATGCCGGAGAGGTCAGTGTTGAAGCCTTGGGATAAGTTGTCCTCTGAGAAGCACCGAGGGGGGATGACGCCACCACTCACCGCCGCCAAGAAGCCCACCAGTACCAACAACCACTTCATCTTGTCTGTTGGAGGAGTTAAGTGTTAAATACGTCGAATATGTTAAGTTTTCACATAAACACACAAGCAAACACACACACTACTTCTCGTCTTATGAAGTTAAAACAGCCAAAGTACTTTAAATATATACTTTTACACTAGGTCGGCCACGTTATGAACTATCAACATGCCACGAGTCTGACATTACCACTACCTTCACTGTTGACAATTTACAACGGTGCACTCAAGGCAGATGTAGTAAGCATAACACAACAGACTTGTGGCGCCAGGATTAACGCAACACTCCTCAATTTTGAGTTGACAACATAAACCCAGCGCAACCCGCCTTTAAGTTATAACAACATACAATCGGTGTGACAAGCTGTTAATAAGTGCTGTATCTTATAACAGTGTGTAAGCTAAATGTTTATAACAAAAGTGTCGTGGCGTTATAACACACCACTGCCCCTTCACGAAGTAGCAAGTTTCCGCGCTGGTGTTAATGAAGCAGGAGCAGCTGTAGGTGGGTGTGGCAGGCAGATCCCTTAGACTGAGGTACGCACACTTCCATCCGCTACTTGTGTATACCTTGCCACGTCTTCACTCCTACACCCACACTATCCCTTCTTACAGCCGTCAATACATCACATATTTAACTATGTCAGTCGGATGTTATAATACCAATCTTGAATCACTGAATTAATTCGCTTTAAATTATTATTTTTTTAATACGGTAAAACTCAATTCGTTAGTCATTCACGTTGATGGAAAATCACACCAATATAAACATACAGTACCTTGTCTGTTAAGGCGTTGGATATAATATATGATGGTGAACTTGGTGTTATATACAGATGGATATGGGAGGCTAAATCACTGGTTGCTGCCCCCGAGATCAGGAGCTGACTGAGGACGCAGTGACACTCCCGGTACAATATATACTACGCGTCTCATCCTGCCATGATGGCAGCACCGTCATCATCTTTTCAATTCAGTTGTGTTGATGCATTTCACAAACATTAAATTGTTGGATATTATCACATGATTACGTTCACCACCTGTTTAATAAAAAATATTACTAAATCAATCCAGTTTGGTGTTAGTATGCGTTAGATTCAGAGGGAGACAAGCGTTTTAGGAAAGGAGTCGAGTAGCTCGGGGAAAACCAACTCGACAGCTTCTTCTGGTTGTAGTGCACGTGCTAGCAATCCTGTGACGTCAACACCTCTGAGAATTCCAATGGCATGGTTTTACAGCGTGGGGTGAGTGTAATGGATAGTTCCGGCCACTGTTTTGTGCAGGATGGGTTTGTCATTGTGTTTGTGTTACGTAAACCAAAGAAATTAATTGATTTTATTTTGGCATGGCGTTATTCTCTCATTGTATTCTAATCTCTAAATATATGGGACTATAGTATGTTTGTTTGAATACATGAATCATTCCAAATACTCAACACTCAGTACATAATATTAACCCATATTAACATCCAGTACAAGATATTAACTTCCGTTATATTGTCAAATTATAGATAATTTTCACTAAAGATTATCGTATGCTGATAAACAATATAAGTTATGATAGGATATTCATACTACTTTATTATCATACATTAGCTAGGATTGTTGTACTACGATTAATAATAATAGTGTTATTTATTCAGTAAAATCACCATACAGGTTTACAAATAGTTTGGCATGTATATAGACAATGCAGGTATACGACGAACTTAAACCGTGCCGTTATGCTGTTGTGTTCAATGCCGTTTATCCACCGAAAAACAAATGAAGATCAGGAACACACACGTCCACCCTCGTGATTAGGGGGAGAGGCAATAATCTAGGCATTGGCTTGAGCGGTAACGGGGGATGCATTTTTTTAAGCAAGTTAATTCTATGATGGTTTATATAATGTAATCCTGTACCTGTTAGTAAGCAGGAGATCCAGGCACTCATGATTTCAATAAGTAAAACTGTTATGATATTAGTTTAGGATTATTGTGCTTTGATAAATACTGTACAACAATCATAATGTATGTCTTATAACAGAATTATTGTATTATGGGGATAGGGTTGTCGTAGCTGGTTTATTATGTATTATTACAAAATTATCATTCACGATGGAGAATTTTGATGTAAGGGTATAAGAACATCTTGGTGTGTTGTGATGCGTCAGTGAAGAATATTATACACGAGTATCATCGTACATTATAGAATTTGTGGTTTTATTGTTTCATAAAACTAAACTGAAACTGATTTTCTCTAGCGAGGCTTTAGATAAGACTCTCTCTCTCTCTCTCTCTCTCTCTCTCTCTCTCTCTCTCTCGTGTTCCCTTTGTCTCTGCATTGTTCCTTTTTCTCGCAGTATCAACCAAGAAACGTCACACATGGGCGGCGAAGTATAAAATGTCGCAAGGGGTGCCAATGATTTCATATATCTTATATAATTTTCTTAATTCTCTCTCCCTTTTTATTGCCCAGTTACCTATATTACTGTCTCCTCGACCTAGAATGTATCACATATCTCTTGTATAAGCAATCAATCATGTAAAGGATAGAATATTGAATGGAAAAAAAAATAATTTCAAGATACCTCAAGACAATGACAGGAAGCCTCAGATACGCCAGTTTGTGTGCATGTACGTCCCCCTCCCTCCCACCTCCCCCTGACAGATGGTCTTGTATGTGATTTTATACTTTTAAATGCTTCCAAGGAAATGCATTTAGTCACTGTGAGAGTCTCAGTGCAATGTTGACGCCATATTTTAGGTCATGGGGGAGAAAGGGTGTAATTATGTACTATTTTATATCACCGGATAGAAAACTATTTATGGAGTCAAGGTCTTGGAGGGGCCGGAGGAAGGGTGTTTGGGGAGAGGGAAGGGTAATGGAAGATCTTGGAGGACTGGGGAGGGTAATGGAAGAAGTTCTTGGAAGACTGTGGAGGGTAGTGGATGAAGGCGTTGTGAGGGCGGGAGCGGGCAAAGATTGTATAGACGTGTATCCCCAGATAGAGGGAATTTTCCATGTGGTTCCGGGAGACTACAGTACTACTGGTGTCAACAACAGTGTAACACTTGGGTATTTACTCTCCCGGCTGACCCTCTTTGGGGGAGGAGGGATGGGGTGGGGAGGTGGATGTGTTGGTGAGGGAGGGAGGTATGGTGGTAAGGGAGGGAGGTGTGGTGGGGGAGGGGGTTGTGGTGGGGGAGGGGTTGTGGTGGTGGAGGGGGTTGTGGTGGTGGGAGAGTGACATTGGTTAATCTTCAGGCAGAATAACATGGAGCCATTCTTCAGATGCTCCCGATTTTTATATAACGTGACTCCCATATTTTCATTACTGGCTATACACGTCAATTATCACTCAAAAAATGGTAAAACGATCTTTCTTATTTTTTTATTGTTGGTGAGTTATTTTTTACGTGTACTAAATCTACAATACAGTACTTGGTTTATATAACTTAGTTTTTGAGGCGCAGTAAGTAACGTTGTAGGGGGCGCCTCTGTGATACTCGCTCGGTGGTGGGCGTTATGGCAGTTGAGATGTGTGTGTTACGTATCTTTTTCCTTCAGCCTTCTTGTATCTCCTCGTTGTATATAATAAAACAAAATTCATATATAAAATTAAATGTATCTCATGTGTGTTTCAACCGGTATTAATAATCCACAAACTGGTTGCACGAGGAAAACAACAAATGATTATCACTGGCATCTGACTCATCCTGGGTGTTGCCTCACAAATCCTCATTCAACACAGGTTTGAGGTTCAGCCAAATTTTAATAAAGACAATTAAACATGATAATAAAAGGGCTGAATCAGAAATTAGTTTTATTAAAAAAAATCGTATGTAGTATATTTATCATATCTGAAGTCGTAAGAATAGTTATGTTGATTTTGAGTAGAAACACCAAAATAATGCTGTATAGTTTGTTCTAAGTATTTTGTGTTTATGATGCTCGATACTTTGATAATTCTTGGACATTAAAGACGTAAGTATAATTATTAATGCTCCCAAGAGACACTAGACAGTAATAATGCTTTCCAAATTTAAGTGTAACTATTTTTAATTTTGGGGACATTTGTTTTTTATTGTTTTTGATGATGATGATAACGATAATGAAGGTAATAATGATAACAGTAATGACAGTAAAATTATTAATATCATATCAGCAATATCTTGCGTACTGTACTGGATGTTAGATCTCAGTGCACACGATGTCAGACGCGAAATGGAAAATGGATCCCAAAGGCTTATACAAGGACTTCATAGCGACAACTACTACTGTACAGAGTAAACATTTATTTTGGTACTGTGGCCAACACCGCACCTGACTGCCTTCATTTCCCCAGTTATAAAGTTAGGTACACATTTACAGCTGGGTAAACTGGGGGAAGGGTGTTTAGGGCTCAAACCAGTGACCCTTCGTACTGGAGGTGAGTGTTGCATCCACTCAGCCGCTGCGGGTCACATAAATAGACACCTCAGTTTATTTTACTCAATTAACTAATCTAACGCTAACTGGGGGGGTGGGGTAGATTAGTTTTGGTTTGCGTTAAGTCAGTTATTGTTATTTTAGGTTAGGCTGCCGTAAGGTAGATTAGCGTTATATTAGATTTGAATAGCGGGTTAGGTTATCTTAGCGTAAGGTTAGGTTAGGTTAGCGTTGGGTTAGTCTTACAATATCGCATGTAAGGTTAGGATAATTAATTTTAAGGCGCGGTAAGGTAAGGGTGTCTAATCTTCATATGATACTTGGCCGCACCCATCATTGTCAAGCTTCACGTCGCTTTACCGAGAAGTAAGGAGCGTCAGGAATCAGGATGGCTGGCTTCCTCTTCACGTTATTTGATATACTGTACCTGTTGATAAATTTGAATTGTTTTGTTGGTTAATATTTTGAGCTAATATATTTTAGTTAATTTTACTTGTTAAATAGCGTTGGTGCATACGTCTGTCAGTTATAGTTTTGTTATATTATTGTATTACTTAAATCTAGTGAATAATTGTTAGCTTTGTCCCTATATATAAAAGTGCAATGACGGAAAAGGAGTTTATTTAAGATGACGTCACAATATCCGGGTATTCATGCACCATATTGAAAGTCGACTTTACATAAGAAAACAAATTACAAACTGTACATTTAGACATTACTGCAGTGTTTCTCAATATATAAATCACAAAGTTATATTTTTTTCTGAATTGTGTAAGGATGACCGAAAAGTTTTACGGAAAGCCAAATACAGGGTCTATTTTGATTATAGAAGCTTATTTTGACGTCTTTTATCATTATAAAAGCCTAATGCGGCCTCTTTTGTGATTATTAAAGCCAGTTACGACGTCTAGTGTCAGATAATTAAGAAAACATGAACAATTAAGTCAACAACCAAAGGCTTCACCTCCAAAATGGCTGCCAGCATAACCACAGGAAGCCTAGTGACGTCACATGACCAGATGCTTGAAGGCGTGGAAGCATTTTTAGGTAAAAGATGAGGTCAGGAGTCATGACCTTTTGTTTTTGTTTTCAGTATCAGTAAACGATCTCTCTCTCATAATAGAACAACAATGGCTACCCCCACTAGATAACAGGCTCTTAAGTACGATGACTACCCTTGTGCAGAGGCCCTTGTGTGCTACGTACTGGATAATGACTGAATCTCTTGAGTGCAATAAATCAAACCTTTAATACAATGCTATCACTCTCAAAGGAAAAACTCATCGTATTCAGGGGGTTAAGACATTGTACTCAAAGGATTTTAGTCATCGTACTCAGGATTGTACTTAAGAGGTTAAACTATTATTTCAAATCCCTGAATAATACACAATTTATCACAAGTTGTTTATAAAGGTCATTATCCTGAAATACTGTAAGATGGTGAAGGAAAATGAGTAGGAGTTGATAAAATAAAAGTGAGTGAAAGGTGGAGGAAGAAACGGTGTGAGTGAAAGGCGAGAGTGAA